TTTTATAAATAACGCAGAAAAGCCCTTTTGTTATCATCCGATCCCGTTTAGACGTTGAAGGAAATTTCAAACTGCATGACTTAATGTCCAACTCACAACTTCCTAGTGTTAGACAAAATGAAAGCAAAGATTACGGGTGCATTTTAGACTTTTGCAAACGGTGTTTGTTTTGATCTGATCTGATCTTTCAAAACTGCCATCACAGCTTTGCGGCCCGGTCGATTCTATAAAATCTGTATGGGCGCACACATCTGCAGAGAGCACATGTCAATATAAAGATTTTTAGAGCACAGCCCGAGCAGCAAGTTTAAGTCCATGCAGAACAGGACAGGAGAGAGGTTTGAGTTATTGGCAACACACAGTCAATTGAGTTCAGGTCAGTAAATGTCCAGTAAAAGCTTTGTTCATATTTAATTGGAATAATTTTGTAAAATTGCACCGTTCAGATGTGCTTGTTTGAGTACAATAGTTCCTGTGTATGCTCTGCTAATACTGCATACTTTTTTGGTGCTGCTTTTGAGATGAGAGTCAACAAATTTTAATTGTGATGATGAAGTAGGGCTGCAGTAACTGGTAATCTGGGCTTGGCCACCCCATTTATAAAAAAAAAAAAAAAAAAAGTCTGGATTCGGCCCTGCTTCCTGAACTAACGCACTTCGACCACGTCATGTTGCTTTGTCCAGAGGCCTCTGTTGAGGGGGCAACAAGTGCAGGACAGAGACTTGTCAACTTCTCGAGGATAACAGTATTTCCTTCATCGATCCACAGTGACTGACGCTGCTTCTGCCAAGAGTGTCGTGTCTGGTTTCACAGCTGTAAAAACATTTTCTATAGCGAGGGATAAATCCTAAAAAACACTTGAGGCAAATTGCATTTTAGAAATCAAGGTTACTCGATTGATTCAAGGAATCATTTCAGCCCTAGATTTAAGTAGTAATGGGTTTCTGAAAGTCAACCCCACAATTAGGATTTAAAACCACTTTCAGAAATAACTGTTAATGACTTGGATTTTTTAATATTACTTTTCCTCTATTAAAAAAAGCAACTTAAATTCTCCCTGAAAAGAAAAACTATGAAACACGTGATTCTCCATTGTGACTGCAGTATAGGCTAATATGAGGAGAGCAGTCCAATCAGATGAAAACAGGCCGTCTGATCACATTATAAGTGATCATTAATAATTGATGGAGTATGTGGAAGATGAAACGGAGATTCCTTTCACAGTATCAAAAATGCTTCTTGTTCACCTTATGCTTACTCCCTAAAATGGAATGTGGTCATATATCTGAATGGCATCTTCCCGTAACCCGGAAAAGTAAAAGCCTGCAATAATGAGGCCTGTGTGTGTGTGTGTGTGTGTGTGTGTGTGTGTGTGTGTGTGTGTGTGTGTGTGTGTGTGTGTGTGTGTGTGTGTGTGTGTGTGTGTGTGTGTGTGTGTGTGTGTGTGTGTGTGTGTGTGTGTGTGTGTGTGTGTGTGTGTGTGTGTGTGTGTGTGTGTGTGTGTGTGTGTGTGTGTGTGTGTGTGTGTGTGTGTGTGTGTGTGTGTGTGTGTGTGTGTGTGTGTGTGTGTGTCTCATGCTTGTGTATGAAGTGTGGCAGCCAATGGCTCTTACATTATTTAAGTGATTTCAGTTTTTACTTGACGAAGCATATGAACTTGTATAGGTTTGAGTGAATTTGTTTTTATTTTGTTACTGTGAGTGCATGTGTGTGTGGGAGAAAACCGCTTTGCTTTAAAAAATCTTGTTTGTAAAAAATCTTCTAGTTCGTAATCGAGGCCACGGAATGAAATCTGATTCCTGTAGAGTTCATGTGACATGTTAAAATATTACATTTTTGTCCCTAAATATTTTAAAGTTATAACTTTTAATGTAAACTATTTTCACTGTTGGGTTTATCGGTTTTAAAAGGTAGAAAAATATCACTTTATGCTTTGAAGCTTTTACATATTTCATATATTTTACATATGAAAAACATAATCTCAGTTGAAGTGTTTTCACCAAGAAAAGGCAATTTCTATGTGGCAGTGCTTTATGTAGATGCTATATAAGGACAGTAGGAATAATGTGCCATTTGATAATATATGTTGAGACATTTTGGAAGTGCCAGACCATTAATTGTTCACTTTTTTTTGCTTACAACTCAGATTTGCCTTTTGAAATACTCATGTAGGCCATCCAGACTTCCTCAACTTTTTGCACACTTCCTCAACTTTTTGCACACTGGAAGAATGCACACTCGTGCATCACATTGTCACCTGGAGTTGTTAAAAAAAGGTCATATAATGGATTAGGTATGTGTCATTTAGCCATGTGTTTTCAGTTTACTCCCTCCAATCCTTCTACAAGAGGTCCCTTCATCTGGCAGCGATGTCATCAACACACCCTGAGATTCAGCACTCGACTGCAGTTTGTCAGCTTTTGTGAATGTCAAATTAGATTTCCCTCGTTGGACTTTGGAATCCATTTGTCTGAAAGCAGCTTTACACTCGTATTCACAAGTCCAATAGAGCATCAGAGAGAATGTGAGAACAACACACTGATGTCACTTATTGTCCTCGCACAAGTCTATAATTATAACTGAGAGGAGAGGTGGATATGCTCATGTGTGTTCGGGGCGGGGAGGGGGGCAGTTTCTTAGAAGACAAAAATAGTCAGACATGAAAGAGGATAGGAGAGAAGCAAGACCAAAGAGTGGAGGACTGTAGAAGAAGGGAAAGAACTCAGAGAGTTGGTTTGTCTCATTTCACTGACTGGTACTTCAGCTTCAGTTTGTGGTGTTACGGATCACAAATCCCTCGGCTTGGATCAGATCGTTCTTTCAGATCAACCAAAAAAAATAAAAATTAAGTTTACCACTCTTCAACTAGACATGACACAAACTGTGAAATGTAACACCATTGCTATAAATCAAAATGCTTCTCCATGAATGAAGCCTAAATTATGTATCACATCCTCCTCCTCTACTTTTTTTCCCCTATAGGCTTACACATTGCTACTATTCCAATAATAATAGCCTAGTAGAAGCAGTTGGAGCTGAAACCTGAACTCTCTTATGATCAAGAAAGTGCTTTTAAAATCTGAACACAGCTGACTGTAATATAAAAAACAGCTTCATTAAAAACAGTATTTATAACTCAGGGGACAGTGGGAGGTCAGGGACATCAGCTGCACAAACACTAAAAAGAAATCTTTGGGTGCGTAACAAATTTGCTGCAATCTACAGATTTCTTATGTCAGTAAGGATGGAACTACAAATGTGTAAAACTATCTTCATTTATTAGCCTGTTCAGTCAGAGACACTGATGAGGGATGACAGAGTTATAGCTTTAGTGAAACTTGAAAGACTTTGTTTTTTCTTTGAGAAAACAAGGCATGCTTTGTCTGCAAATTTCTTCTTTTGGCTCGCGTAACCAGGTTCAGGTTACTTTATTTACCTGTTTTGCGGTTAACAGTCAGACTGCACATTGTCGAAACATAGAACCCTAGAAGGAAATTTGTTTTTTGAAATCGTCGCATAAAAATCCTGAAACTTGATTTTTTTCCCCCACCACCCGATCACACATTAAAGGCCTTAACGCACCAAGCAGACAGAACTAGTGGGCGACGAAGGCCGCCTTTGGCGTCGGCTCACGACGGCTTTTGTCTTGGCCAAAAAGTTGCACTGGAACACACCACAAAGACTACAGCCGACGGTCTCCTTGGTGTGTCAGGGCCTTTATAATAATGAGAAATAGAAAGCCCAAAGCATCCACCTCAAACAAGGCCACATTCGGCCCTTCTCTTATCTGTCCTCTGGGTTTCATGCCACATGTCAATTGCTCAGAATTCAATTTCCTCCCCTTGTGTTGTGGCTTAATTCTGCCTATTCCACTTTACGCAGGTCTGCACTGTCAGCATGAGGATGTGGGGGGTGGGTTGGGGTGCAGACATTAGATCATACCATCTGGAGCAAGAAACTAACTAGCACAAAGAAAATACACAAAGAATGATTATGCATATTTCCCATGGCCTGAATATGGTTCTGAAGGGAGGAATAAGTTGTTAACATGTGGTTTGTGTGGTTATTTGTGACAGAGCAAGCCTCTACTTTTTCAAGCCACAGAGAGACAATTAAGTGCCTAAAATGACTAGTCAGTGTCGGAGGTAAAGAACAAGAGAAAGAGACGATTTTTACTGTACGCATTCACTCCACACCAACAGTGTGAATTTCACTGGACCGTCTCCCTCATTGGTGTCAAATCTCCGAGAGGCGCGTGTGACTTATGCTGCTGCATACACGCGCGTGCATGTCTTTGTAGCCCACACCAGTGTGTATTCTTGTTTCTGCACGGCTGTTTGTGTCACAGCCCGTGTGTGTTTGCGGCTCGTCACCCTGGAGCCAGTCGTCCTTCTCCTCTGACCCTGATCCCTGTCACCTGTCCGCTCAGATCACACACACACACACTGCTGTGACCCTTTCCTGGGGTTGAAACCCAATCACTCTTGCACACCAAGTAAACCTACAAGCGCAGCTTTGTTTTCCTTTTGTGGGTTTGTGTTCGAGTCAGAAAGTCCTACTGTATGCTGTTAGATTAAATTCAGGCTATTTTAATTAAAAACTATGATACAAAGATTCAAACTAAAGACCAATACAGTAAAGGAAGCTGGGATTAGCAGTACAACTGATCAAACTGAGGTCATTGTCTCGGCACAGTTCACGATGTAAGATAGTGGTTAATCAAACTTTTTACATTGTTAGAGTAAGGTTTTCAACAAAAAGATGCTAGCCCTGATGGCTAGCGTCTTTCTTTCTTTTCAAATAAGATCTCCAACAACTCCACTGTACCTGTAGTTTGAAACACACTGGGTCCAGAATTCATCCAACAATGCGTGCTAGCTTTGGGTTGTTTAACATTTCCTTCATTTTTTTCCCTCACTCTCAGGTTTACTGTCAGTCTCGATTGCTTCCTGCCTCATCATGTCTTCCTATGCTTAACATGTTGGCCTCTCTCTCCTCAGGAGTCTAAATCATCGCGCTCCAGCATGCCGCGATGTCGGAACTCCGTTGCTACGACCACAACAGACGACCAGCCGCACATTGGTAACTATCGGTTGCTAAAAACCATCGGCAAAGGCAACTTTGCCAAGGTCAAACTGGCACGACACGTCCTGACCGGGAAAGAGGTAGGCATTCATGCACACACGCTATATTTGTCTCAAAGCTTTGAATCTGTCTTTTACTTACAGAGTCTCCCCGACTGTCTGAACTCAAGACTTATTTTTAGCCATATTCTGAAGGACCACTTTGCTATTGACTGTTTATTTTGATAGAAACTGGTCAGATAGTGACTAAATGACAACAGCACTGCTGAGAAAATCTATTCAAGAGGAGAAGACCTTGTGTTTTTTAAGTGTTTATATGCAAAACTGAGTAACAATAGCATCAAAATGCTGGGACCTTAATAAACAATAAGAACAGGAAATGTCATTATTTTAGGAATCCTTAGCACTTTACTCAGCAGTTAGTGTCAAAACAATGAAAAGAAAGGAAGTCCAGGGTGTTCTCTAATTAGTCCAGATGGTAGAAACAAGAAGAAACACTGTGAATGTTTAGCTAATGTCTTAATGTTAATCCTGGTTGATGAGAATAGGGGAGGGTTCATGCTGCGACACACAGTAGGTCTGGTCTGATCCTTGGCTTCCATGTCTTTGGAGACGGTACATCTGCTGCAGGAGATTAGATCACCATTGTCGGCTTGAATGGAGAGCCTAAAAGTCTCCGGGCTTACTGTGAATTCCAGATGTGACGTCACGTGGTGGTCTGTCCCTTTAAGGGGAAAAAGCTGTGTCTGCAGCGGAGCGCATGCCTGGGCTCAGTCTGAGGACCAGTAAAGTAAAAGTCTTGCTCTGTGTGTGAGAGAGGGAGAGCTGGAGAGGGGTGGGCAGGTTCTGTCAATGTGTGACAGCTCTCTGCCTGACACCCTGATAACACTCCTTGTGACTCGCTGGCACACACACACACACACACACACACACACTCACACAAAGAAAACAAGGGAGAGTCAGTCAGACAAGCACAACCAGAAAGAGGAGTGGAAGAAAGGAGTTACTTGACAGAGAAAGACATAAATGTCGGGGAAAAGTAGACCTTCTTTTTTTATGTTCCCGTTAAGATATAATTATTGGTTTCCCTCGCCTTATCTTTGCATCTCTCACTTTGAATCCCTCCCATCTGCGTGTGTCTCTTATTTGTTTTTATGTAAACATTTTATTTTTGTTAACAAACACCACACAGAACAAACAGCTAGTTATCTATCTTAGTTACATCGCAGCTCATATGATCGGTGCTCGGTTATCTTCAGTCACCTCGAGGTAACAAACACGATCCATCCTCAAGCTTTATCTCATTACTGAAATAAGATCTGATTTGCAAGGACAAACCATATTATTTCAGCCACCATATTTTTCAGAGATTTTCTTAACATTGTCTTATTCTCCTTTTGAGGAGATTAAGGAGTAGGAAGTGATACATACCAGTTTGATACCATTGTTTGATCAGACCTTGCTGTCTGTCTTAAAATCTGAATCAAAAGCAACCCATGTCAGCTGTTTAGACTCCCAAGTAGTGACGGTCCACATTCCTTAAACCAGATTCTGAGAGGTTACCACTTTCAGATTTTGAACCGAAAACCTCATTACAGCGAGGGTGTAAGCCCGAGTTTGTGTGTGTCCTTGTCTTTACAGTGCCCCGTTATGCAACTGTCCCCTGCTGCGACTGTGTGTTTATCACACAGTGTATAATGCTGTAATATAACAGGAGTGTGTGTGTGTGTGTGTGTGTGTGTGTGTGTGTGTGTGTGTGTGTGTGTGTGTGTGTGTGTGTGTGTGTGTGTGTGTGTGTGTGTGTGTGTGTGTGTGTGTGTGTGTGTGTGTGTGTGGGTTTTCACAGGCTGAGGCTGTTCAATTTTGTGTGAGAGAGATGCGTCAAACCCACTGCAGCAGGTGTGATAACTGATAGAAGTGTAATATATACATTCTTGTTTTTGCTTCTAGGTGGCTGTAAAGATCATTGATAAGACGCAGCTCAACTCCTCCAGTTTGCAGAAGGTGGGTCTCTCTCTTTACCTCTATCTCTCAAAAGCGCACGTGCGCGCGCACACACACACACATGAACTTTCTAGCTCAACATTCAAACCTCAGTTCTTGTTGTTCCTCTCAAAGCTGGCATTATAGAGTCACTGCCTCTATGTGTCCTTTTTCTTTCGCAGATTCTCTCTTTCTGTGTGTCTGTCTATCTCTCTCTCTCTCTCTCTCTCTCTCTCTCTCTCTCTCTCTCTCTCTCTCTCTCTCTCTCTCTCTCTCTCTATTTCCCCTTTTTGCTGTCCTTCTGAAGTGGTCTAGTTTTCAGAGAGAGTTTTAATTACAGGAAACAAGCAGCAATTACTTCTTTTGATCGTGGCAGGGTGGGGTCTGCCCACTCACACGCATACGCTCTAACCATGTATGCTTGCTTCCGAGACACACACACACACACACACACACACACACACACACACACACACACACACACACACACACACACACACACACACACACACACACACACACACACACACACACACACCAAACACCAAACACCAAACATACATACATGCACCAGCAGACATATGCCATGAAATAGACATTTGTGTGCACAAGGAGATACCGACGTCACCCACACACACCCTTAAGTTGAATGTCACCACACTAGAAAAAGCAAAATCCGTGTGCATAATGACAAGACTTGGCCCTGTACTACTGATAACATACTCTGATCAGACCATTTCACTTTTATATTCTATGGTTAATATTCATTTCTCCTATGGATATATTAACAGACTGTATGTTTACAATATGGAAATCTTATTTTGATCCAGACATTGTATTTTGTCAAACATTGTTATTTTTTGAATCCTGCAAATAATTGATGACTATCTGTCCTCTTTAAGTTTTTTTATATGCTTATCAACAGAGCAGGGAGGTTTGTTTTTGTGTCATTTAACTCATTACCATATTGATTCTCAAGTTTTTGCAAAGACACATTTTACACACATATATGCTCTAAACTTGCCGTTGAACCACGTAGGTAATAAGTGGAATATGACTGTTATTAACCGTAATATGTTTCTTGCAGCTCTTCCGGGAAGTGAGAATCATGAAGATGTTGAACCATCCCAACATAGGTGAGTCAAACTGACCAATGAGATTGGACTATTTTCTTCACTCACAGGGATTCAGATCTAATTAGTGTCTAAGGCCCTGTGTCCATCTAGCGTTATTTTTGAGCACCAGCGTCTTCAAAAAATGTTTTTGTTTTTTGAGGAGAGATCGTTCGCAGCAGCAGGCGGCCACCCGGAGAAACGCAGCACCCAGGGTCTTTTTTTTTTTTTTAAGAGCGCTCCACCTTTTTTGTGCACTGGTCCGAGCACTCGATTTAAAATCTTCGAGTGCTGTTGACATCACCGCCGACGTTTTCCAAATGTATGAGGTTCCCCGTATTTTTGCCGCCCACGGATCATGTCTTGCACCCCCATCATCTTTACTCAATGTCGCCTGGGGTGAAAACAATCTCAAATAAAAAACATACAGAGTAGTATCAATCATATTGGCAACAGACTGTTGTCATAGAGACAGGACGGACATGCGGCACTTTTCTTCTCAGAGCACAAACACACAGCCGGCGCGTTCCTGCCTGGTGAAAACTTGTTGGACACGGGTCCTAAGGGTCACGTATTCAAGCCCGATCATAATAATTGTTTTTCTTTCCTAATATTTTTGCTCTCACCTCGCTACACTCGCTTTTTCTTTCATAAATCTTCATTTCACTTCTCCTCAATTCCCTCTCCCTCTTTTTTTTTTGCCCCTTTTCTTTGTCTTTCCACTGAAATACTCTGTGTTTGCTCTTCTTTCTCTCCCTCCAGTCAAGCTCTTTGAGGTGATAGAGACAGAGAAGACTTTGTACCTGGTAATGGAGTACGCCAGTGGAGGTAAGTGCATCTTTCCGTCACTCCCCTTGAGGCCTGGCACTCTGTTTAGTAAGAATCAAATGTTTGTTTGTTTATAAAAAGTGACCTCACAGCTTATAGGCACTCTGTGTTTTGTAAGTAATTTATCCTAATGTGGTTATCAGAAATACTCAGCTCTATCCTGTTTCATTTTTCTTACTGTGCACACAGTTTTTTTTTGTTTTTTTTTAAAGGGCAATCTTATTTTAGCGTCCCGTTCACAAGTAATCTGGTTCTAGGGACGCAAGTGTCAGATCCCAACACTAAATCTTTCCTCCTCTTCTTCTGCTCCTTCAGGAGAAGTCTTTGATTACTTGGTGGCCCACGGCAGGATGAAGGAGAAAGAAGCTCGTGCCAAATTCAGACAGGTATGATTGTTGTTGTGCTCCATTAAAGTCTTAAAGATACTTGTGCTTGTGCTGCTGTATGTTTAGGGCATGCTTAACCAAGATTAAAAGTCTATTGCCTTTGTACATTTGAAGGGTTTTTTAATATTTATTAAATAATGAAACGTGGTTAGGGAGCAGAAGCAGCTATTTTGATGGACAGGTTTTACAATTGTTTTGGATTAAGCAAATGTATTTACTCAATGTATCAGAAATTCCCTTTGGAACAGTGTTATAATAATGTTTATAAAGCAAAAAAAAAAAAAAAATGGGAGCATGAAATGTTATAGTTTACATTTTTGTATCCTTCATAATTCTACCATATGAAATCATTTCAAAGGGCTCACAGTGTCTTCTATTCTCTCTCTCTCTCTCTCTTTTCCCGCCTCCTTTTCTCCATCGATCACTGTCCAGATTGTGTCAGCGGTGCAGTATTGCCATCAGAAGTGTATAGTACACAGAGACCTCAAGGTGAGAACGCACAAGGCAGCATACATGCATACTGCATTTGATTTACATTTTTCCAGATGTAATCCCACTCCCGGAAACACAGAATCCAGAGGTTAATCACAAAGTAGTGTCTCACTTTAGGCGCGGTGCCTTAGACAGCTTACTCAGTGATTGGTCGATGCATTGCTTGTATCGTTTGGCTTGTTGGGCCCCTCACTCTTTCTACATCTCAACACATTGTCTCTCCTGCCTTTGATTCACATTAGGTGGTTTCTGAATATAACCCAGCATACTCACACACAGGTCTAAAGCTTCGAGGTCGTTTTGGTTCAGAGTATTACAGAGTTTGAAATCCTCTTAACGTGCCAGCAGGCAAACCTGTCGATAAGACATTATCATGATTACAGTAACCATACAAGCGCCCTTTCAACTCAAACTTCTTCATCAAGTTTACGGTTAGTTTGGGCTTTAAGGGGAACATTTTAAATCTTTTGACCAGGTAAAAGGCCATCGTTTCCTACCCTTCAACAGGTAATAATGGTTGACATTTATACACAAATAATGGCAGCCTAGGAAAGAAGAGATTTCTTGAGGACAGACCGTTCTCATTAATTTAATGCGCACCATGCTGCACATTATACTGATCACTCTGAACTGTGAGGTGAAATCTGGCGCGCGCTTAACTCAAATGCAAAAAATATTTCAATGACGCTGCGTTTGACAGCAAGCGGGGAATAATCTGTTCACTGTCCAGGACTTAAACTCCTGTGTACCTGAAGCAAGGATCTACACTTGGTTTATACAGCTGTATCTACAACAGGGGGCGCTTTTTTAAATTGAAAACACAAGTGTCAAGGTTTCTATTTTGTTACTGGGTAAAAGTGTTATTTTTTGTGTAATAAATGATTTAATCTGTCTGCAAAAGAATTAGAAACAAATGCTGATTACTTCTAAGATCACATGCCTGGAAGAGATGATGTCAGTGTTTAACACCCCAACTCCACACACACACACACACAAATACACACAGAGAAATGGTGGAGTATTCAGTGCGAGTGAAAAGGAGAGTGCACCTGTTGCTAGGCAACCCCAGCCTCCTTGCTCACTGGCTCACTGGCTCACTTTAGGCTTAGGGTACAAACACACACAGGAATAAACTGTGCAGCTCACTTTGTCCATTGTGTGCTACTTCTTGGCCTCGAGCCATTACCCTGAAAACCCCTTCTCTCACCCAGCAGGGTTTTTTTCCCCTGAGAAAGCTGAGTGTCAGACTGACTGACAAACTGTCTTGAAATGTATCATCTTCAAACTTGGTGTAACGGCAGAGAAAATCCATTTGCTGCAACGATACTTGATAACTGGGTGGCCAATTTGTGAAACTGTATTTGATTTACAACAAGCTTTAAACCACATTTAGCTCAGACCCTACCAGAGTCGGAGTTTGTTCTATATGTTGATGAACAAATTATCTCATCAGTCACTTTGAATGCTCATGTCTTGGCATGCCAGTTCAGGGGGAAAAAAAGTATTATATAATCTCACTTTTTGCTTCCCTCCTCATCCTGTGACTTTGATTTGTTTTTCATAATCCTGGTTTTCTTTCATCTTTTCCCCCCTCACTTTGGCCGTCTCTAGGCGGAGAACCTGCTGCTGGATGCCGATATGAACATCAAGATAGCAGATTTTGGCTTCAGTAATGAGTTCACTCTTGGGAACAAGCTGGACACATTCTGTGGCTCCCCACCCTACGCTGCCCCCGAGCTCTTCCAGGGCAAGAAGTACGACGGGCCCGAGGTGGACGTCTGGAGCCTGGGGGTGATCCTTTACACACTGGTCAGCGGCTCGCTGCCCTTCGACGGACAGAACCTTAAGGTCAGGGAGCGGTCAAAGTGTGTTGTGTGTTTAAATGTGTCTGCATTACATAAGCAGGGGTGGCTGTAGTATTTGTTACGCTGGTTTCGCTTCCTTCTGCCCTAAAAAATGCAGAAGCTAAACTCAAAGGAGTAAATGTGTACAACTGATTAAATGCCAAACGAACAACTTTGTCTTCAAGCAAGGTTTAGTGATGCATCACATCAATACCGCAACATGTTACATTGTTTTCAAGAAGGCAATATATGCTTTTGTTTTAACACTGGTAGTTATAATTATTCATCCTACCATCATACTGTGCATTCACTCAGAACCCACATGACTCATTCTGGAAGTGCAGACACATTTTGGGTGGGCGATATAACATTGAGTGTGAGGATATTGATATTTACATGCCTGGAAACTGCCATCAAGGCTTATATTGCAGTGCAGCTGCCTGGAGTTTAGTTTACCTCCCACAATACTGCGCTCACTATTTATTTAACTCACTGTTTTCTGAGTTTACTGGCCACAAAAAGATGAATTATTTGATTTTAAATGTGTCAAACTGAGGGCAAAACAAAAAAAAACAGTTTAAAATCAAGATATTTAATCTGCAATATAAGGCCCGACACTCGGCTTTGAGATTTGAAGTACAGGTTCTGTTAAAGAGATTGATATGTTCAGTGGCACACCATTGAAGTGCAATATGTTACATAAAGGCCACTGAAGAAGATTTTAAATTTGATATTGATTTGTGTAGTGCTTGGGTGACTGACTACTTCTACAGATGGCATCAAAAACAAACTTTCCTTGTGTTTGTGAATTTGCAGGAGCTGAGAGAGCGCGTACTGCGTGGTAAATACAGGATCCCTTTCTATATGTCTACGGACTGTGAGAACCTGCTCAAGAAGTTCCTCATCCTGAACCCCTCTAAAAGAGGCAGCCTCGAGGTACACTGCATTCACACGTACATGCAGACACATTTCGTTCTCCAATTAAAAAAAAACCCCATTCATAATACCCCTTCTTGAAACATGTAGACTGTAAAGACTTGATCAGTGATGTCTGTTCTCCTTCCTATTGGTATATGCAGCAGTACTATACTGAATCTTGGGACCTGCTTCACCATCTATCTGTGAAATTGTGGCTGAAGTGTGATGTACTTTTTAAAGACACAGTAAATACTTGTTAGTTTTAGGGTGTGTGAGTTACTAAATTTGGTAGCAGTGTGGCTACATGAATGCTAACTAGTTTTAAATGAGTTGACCAGATTCACATTATCATCAAGAATTAAAGACGTACTCTCGTTTAAGCTTTGGCTATACTTTCTGCTAAAGCTGCTTAATCTTTTGGCAACCCTGTGAAAATACAGACGCAAGACTGGAGCTCCAGTGTTCCAATTCAGATCAGTGGATGTTTCATTGATGCCTACTTGAAAAAGCTTGTGTACAACTTGACTAGATTTCAAGGCAGCCGTCAGATTGCCGAGGCTGAGTTTTTGTTTGTCGCTTTGTTGTGGTGCCAGATATGAATCCCAGGCTGTTTGAATCAGACGTTTCCCCTTTAAAGTATGATGCATTTACATATTGATAATTCCCCCGCCTTTGCTGATGAGATGAAAAAATAAAAGCAATTAATTTTGTTTGGATTAATTTATCATGTGTAACAAACTCCTGCATCCTTTCCCACTGAGTTGTCATGAAGAGATACTTTGGCACTCTACATTTTGCATCTCTACCCCCCCGCGCTGTGTTCTTATTCTTCTATTATCCTCTTTCTTTCTTGTCCCCTTCTCCCCGTTTACCCCTCGACCGTCTTTGACACGTTCTGTCGTCCTGCGTCCGCCTGTGTGGCTTGCCTCCCAGCAGCAGATAATGAGGGACCGTTGGATGAATGTGGGCTACGATGAGGAGGAACTCAAACCGTACATCGAACCCATGCCAGATTATAAGGACCCAAGGAGGACAGGTAGCCTACAGATATACACTCAACCTGTTTCCGTCAATCTATTCTGCCAGTCTGTGTGAAGTATCCACAGTAAAGATGTTTAAAGTTTCCCCCCACAGATGTGTGTGAATACAGATATATTAGATTCAAATTGCTTAGCAGCCTCTATTCATGCACAAAGCGTATTTATCTAAGGAGACCTGCAGGAAGCTCTACATTGTAATTCTAATCTCTTTTCATGTGCGCAGACATCATGTTACAGATGGGATTCTCTCAGGAGGAGATCCAGGACTCGCTGGTGAACCAGAAGTACAATGATGTGATGGCTGCATATCTGCTACTGGACTATAGGAACCATGAGGTACGCGGCTTTCTTTCCAACACCTACACACCTTCACACTGTGCCATGCCAGTTATTATTAGTCTGTCAGAGCTCCCTCACACGGACCTCCGCTGATGTTAAACTGAAGCAGCTCATGGAAAAAAATCATTGTTCTGAACAAGTACATTTATGTTTATGGTTTTCAGTATTCTCATAACAACACTGTGTTAAGTCTAAATGTTGTACCCACACCTCAGTCTCCCTGCATCCCTTCCTCATTCACTCATATTCAGATTTGTGTTTTTTTCTTCTTCCCTCAGCTGGAGGAGAGCGGCATCAAGCCCCGGCCAGGAAGTGATGTAAGCAACATAAACGCCCCCTCCCCGCCTCATAAGGTACAATGAGAACACATAATCTGCTTTGCTTATTCTTCCACCTAATGTGATCTCCCAACTCCAGTCAGTGCAACAACAAAAAAAGTACACTGACTTCACCAGTTTTTACCAAAGCCAGTGTGGAACGTCTCGTTGGAGGTTTCATGTGTGATTACAGCAGCTCAGCAGAAGCTCTTCCCCTCAACATACTTACATCCCAAATGTATTTTGTAAAAGAATACCCCACTGACCTGTGTCCTGTTTTCTGCCCCTTTAGGTACAACGCAGTGTGTCGTCCAACCAGAAGCCTACGAACCGCAGAGGCACAGATCAGGGTGAGATTGGTGTGTGTGTCACAGGAGGAAGGGGGGGGGGTGCAGCAGATGTCTATTACATACTGATAGAAGTGGACGCAGATGGGAAACAGACTGAGACGGTCATTTGTCAGGAGCTGTGAGATGAAGAACACTGTCCCAGCAGATGGAACTAATTCTTTCATGTTTTTTTTTAAACTTCTTATACAATTATCATCCTGGTGCTGAGATAGTGTCTGGTCCTGCCAAGCACAAGCAGGTAGAGGAATAAAAGAGTCAGGAACGAGGGAAGAGAGGAAGAGGCAAGTTGCTGCCTTTCTGATGCATTCCTCTCTTCTCTCTGTAGGATCCTCTTACTCTAAAAGGGGGGGTCAAGCAGACAACAGGACCGCAGCGGAGGATTCTGGGAGGAAAAGTTCATCGAGCAGCTCCACTACCAAGGTGCCGGCAAGCCCACTGGTCTCCTCTGACCGCAAGAAGAGCGCCACGCCTTCCACCGTGAGTTAAAAAAAAAAACCGACACTGCTGACATGGCATTTCCAACGCTCTTAAAGTTTTTATCAGAAAACAGTGTTTAAATCTTCTGTTTCCCCACATCATCAATGTAACCACATACATTCAGGCAAATATTGATGAGTCATCAGTACTCTGAAGTGTTAAATAAAATCAGCCATATTTGATCTTACGTCACAGTCTGAAGATCAAAACTAAAAATGAAACCAATTAAAAAAAAAAAAAAAAATAGCCAACTGTGAAGGCTGCCCTGCAGGATAAGAGAATGTGAGTAAGCATTATGTTTAAGGGTATGTTTAGTTATTTGTATACAATGTAATCGTTTATCTTTAAAGTATACAACTCGTAGAAGTATTTGAAGTTGTTTCTGGTTTAATTGTTTAGAGTTCATTATGTGAACTTAAAGGTCCCTACACACCAGGCTGGTTTGCACACCTGGCTGTTCTGATTTTCAGTTTGGTCACACCCTGCCAGGGAGGGGCAGCTTAGACTTTGATCATCTTTATTAGTTTGTGGACTTGAGTTCAGTTGTGTAATTCCCAGTATAGCTCCGCCCACCTTCAGCTTCAGGAAGTGAATTGTCACGCATTAAGGTGTCCACCTGTGTGGGAGGGCAGGGTGTTTTAAATGGCCGTGAAAATGTTTTGTAAAAGTATGACTGTGCAGTGGATGACGAGCTGCATTTAATGAATTACAGGAAATACTCTGAAGGCATGATTCATTGAATATTTGATCACTTTCAGGCAGTTAAAGTCAGTCATAGATTTTTGTCACCTTTAAGTTACCTTTCATATCTTTCCTTCCTACTTCTTCCATGAACCTGAGAGCTGACTGTCGTTAACACAAACGTTTCTAAAGTTCTAAAATGATTCTTATTTTCTTCCTTTCTCCATTCAGAATAGCATCCTGTCCACCGGTACAGGTCGCAGTCGGAACTCTCCTCTGACCGAGAGAACCACGTTGGGACAGGGCATCCAGAACGGCAAGGACAGGTACAAACAGATATTTTATATATATATATATATATATATATATATATATATATATATATATATATATATATATATATATATATATATATATATATATATATATATATAGTGTATATAAAATAAACAGTTTAAAAGGATGGATCTTTTAAAGACCAATAACGGTCACATAGAATCCTTCTACCACACACTCCTTCACCCTTGTCACTGGTAACTCAAGTAGCTGCTTGGAGGCAGACCTGCTTAACACACACATCATACAAATACACTCAGTATGGTTTGTGAATGAAGCAGTCCCACAGCTGTCTCGCTGACTGAATCCCAGACCTTGGCTGGTACTCTCCAGCGCTCTGCCAGTTGGCTCAGCGAGACCCACAGCTTTCCCCCAGGGCGGGGTGAACCCTCCAGGACAAGGAAATCGGGCTCCCTCTGGGAATTTAGGCCAAACCTCCAGTAGATTACAGATTACTAGCGATGGTCTGATGGAGGTCTGCCATTCAGAGCCGAGGGTCCAACGGACATGCATGCCTGAATTTATACATACACTTGATTGATGTGGTGTCCCAAAGAAATACCCAAGAAGAGCACATTTTTTCTTTAAACTTACAAAACTCCTTCATGTCATTATTATTATAAGTTTGGGTTTTACGAACTGAGCATGGACGGGTTTATTTCTTAGGCAGGTTTAAAAAAGGACTAACAAGGTAACAATCTTAAAGCATGAAAGAAAATAAACAACAATAAAGTCTAAACATTGTAATCAGCTGAAGGAAGCTCCCATCGGTTCCCCTTTTATTTCATGAAGTGGATACAGCGCAGTGTGATATTCTACTGCGTCTCATTTCATACGGCCGAAATGTAATCCATCGATCCAGCTCCCCTCTCTTCGTCGGCCACTTTCAACACGTCCGATACGGAACATACCTCACACACATCGCTCATGCCTAACCTGCCATAAGCTTTGTGTGCTTTTTTTTCCATAAACATTCAACATAACACCAACTGTGATGCAGTGTTTCATTTATCATTGCTGCTTTTTTATTTATTTTTATTTTATTTTTACATTTTGTATTGTTCTCAAATGCCCCCCTTGTTCTCAACCTTGTGCTATACTTACAGCAAAATACAAATGTCTTGAGAGACTCCATGGTTAATCGAATGCGTGGTAAATCTTTGCTTTGACGATGTCCTCTCAGGCTAAGCACTGCATGGGAACAGGGCGGTCATTTGAGACAGCATTGTTTTTGTTTTTTAGTATCGTGTTTCTATTAGCTTTGGTAGGCTCTGCTAACTTAGTGGTTGTCATCTGCTTTGATTTTAAAATGACTTTATTTGATCATCATTAATGCTTTGAAGTTTGGGCTTTATAAGTGTAACCCCCATCCCCAACATGTCCCCTTCCTGTCCTTTTCTAATGTTCTTTGTTTGGTCTTTTATCTGTGTCTGAGCTCGTGTCCTCTCGTTTTGAAGTCACTCACTTTTTCTTGGCACCTTCCTTTCTTTCCTTGATTTCACCAGATTCCTAAATTCCTCTTTGTCGTTGTATTAATCTCTCTCCTTTTTCTTCTCTTTCTCTCTCTCTAAGGAGATTAGTACGACTTGTGATGGAATATTAACTCTTAGTGGCACTATATGGTCCCCATTTTTTGCCTCTTAAGAGGCTTACACATTCACATACAAACTCATTGACACACACAGAAGCTTAAACATATATGTCACACAAGCTCAAAAACTTGCCACACACTGGGTTGTCCAGTGAAAGCAGCAGTTTTTTTTTTTCCCCGTCACTAGCTGGGCTAATCCAAGAAAAAAGTGTGTGTGTGTTCCTCTCTACTGTGTTTGTTTTCTGTGTCATTAGCAGCTGTTTGTTGACCTCTATAAATGTCCGTCTCTTTCTCATTTCTCATTTCTTTGCCCTCCTCTCTCTCTCTCTCTCTCGCTCTCTCTGTCTCTCTCTCTCTCGTGCCACTCTCCCCTGTCTCTTTCTGTTTGTTTCTGTTTATGGATAAAGTCAAGTTAGAGCTGTCTGTGTGGTGAAGAGATTTGTAGCCCATAGCAACCTTGCTGATTAAAAGTGGGCCAAGGAGATCGCCAGTGTTGTTTCGTCATTCTAGAAATATTCTCTCTTACAGATTTAGATCCTAAACATTAGTGAGGGATCAAATGAGGCATTTAACAGGCAGAGAATTCAGTGTGAATGTTGCTTAATGCAAGAGTGATGATCCAATAACATGACAGTGAGAAAAAGCTTTATTTCTTAACCACTTCTCTATGTGAAAGGAACTGAACAAATGAAGTAGCTCTATGTCCAAAAAACAGACAAAAAGAATTAGATGTTTACTTTTTGTGCCTTTATTTGAGAGACAGGACAGTGGATAGTCAGAAATGAGGGAGAGAGAGGACTGACATGCGGGAAAGGAGTCACAGGTCGGAATATAACCCGGGCTGCCCGCTTTGAGGACTGTAGCCTCTGTACATCGGGCTGACACACAAACCACTAGGCTACCAGTACACCCAAATAATTAGATTATTTAGACAAAAATTTCAAATGTTGCAGCTGATGATAGCATGAGCAATGAAAAGAAACACAATAAAGTGTTTAGAAATGATTATTTTTAAGAGAGGAATGTGAGAAAGTTGATTGGAGTCAAATAGCCAACAATTAGAAATGTACTGGCTGAACTGGGATTTGTGAGAAAATTGTGTCCGTTTCACCACAAACCTTGTTGGTGCGGTCAATGTGTAGACGTACTGAAGAGCTTAATGTTGAAATACTGGAGTTTCTTGAGGTATTATGTGGAGGTTTTCTGAGTTTGGTTGCTCTGCACACTTCTGGTTTACTTGACTTTGTCCACCTAATTTGTCCTGAGTGTGTGTTGTTGAATTGAAGTCTGAGGGAGATTAAAAACATGAAGATGAGGGAAGAAAGACCGACTTTACATCTTTGTTCTTGTCCTCTGTGTTTCCTGTCTCCTTTTGTCTCTACAGTACTTCCTCTTCTGTCTCTGTACTTCTCTTCCTTCTCAACACCCCCCCTCTTCCTTACTGTGTTTGATAAGTGCTGCTTCTAACCATGCTCCACCTCACCTCCCCACCCACCCACCCACCCACACACAAACCCCGCCCAATGTGTGCGACTGTACGTGTCACACGGTGTGTTTGCACTGTGTCGTTTTTTCGTCTGTGGATTTGTGTGTGTGCGTGTGTGTGTGTGTTCAATGGGCGGGGCACTCCTCCTGTTCCATCCCCCCCCCTCCTCCCAGTCTAAACACTCCGGGCTCCCGAGCCTCCACTGCCTCAGCCGCTGCCGTCCTCTCCTCCTCCTCCTCGCGTCCCCGTCACCACAAGTCCCTGTCCTCCTCCAATCATCCATGCCCCTCTGACCTGCACGCACCACGGCCCAGGCAAGTCTCTTACTCTCTCTCTCTCTCTCACACACACACACACACACACACACGCTCCGACTGCTCCTGCGGCCTCTTTCAGCACAAACCACTTTAGTCAGCTCAGATCATCATCCTTCCAGCAAGTACTCCATCAACAAAAAGGAGAAAGAAGATAAAGTCTTTGATGGCTGTGGAACTTTCCTCCACTGCTAGATAAAAATAACTGCTCTAACTAACCTAATGAACCTTTCTCTCTCTTATCTTTTTAAGCAAACTTTTAATTATCTTTCATGCACATGTTGACAAGTCCTGGCACACAGCAGTGACCTGGTTGCCAGTTCCCCCCATCAATCAATGAAAAAGTGTAATTTTGCCCCCCAAACTGCTCTGCTTTCAAACAGGCTCCTCTCATACATATTCAAATAAATAAAGATACAGTGTTTCCTTAAACCAGGTCAAACAGCACTTGTGTAGCCCAGAACCAAGAAGTAAAGATAGCAGTAAGTGATGCTGCACATATTCAGTTAAATTGGTAACTTGTAGCTGACAAGGTGTTGTCGTCCCTTTTTTATGTGCTGCTCTGAATATCTACCTGTTAACAACTAAAAACACCACTACAGTAAGAAGTCCAACATTTCTAAGACCATCTATCAGAGACTGACCAGTTCCTTAGCAACCGCAAGAAGCCGAAAGTAGTGCTCAGAAAGTTGTACCACCTAAAGGAAGTGTGGAGATGCCAACATGTTTCTTCTGTGGCCATCAGTCAGCCTCAAGCCTGACAATTAACCAGCAGACAATAACCCAACAGGCGAGAGTTTACAAACCAGATGAGCAGGGTCGTTTTTTTTTTTCACCCTGTTCTTCCCTCGTACAGACCTCGGAGAGATGTTGTTTTGTTGCTAGTTTTTTGTTTTTGTTTTTTAATCTTGGCAGCAAAGAATACCCACACTAACTCAGTGTACGCACATTCATTGAAAAACCCTGTTTAGGTCAAAATGAATACAAAATGAATCAATTGATGCAGTCCTAAAAGCCTTCTGGTTGAAGTCATGGGATCAGAGTTTTGCACACTGCCGTGTTGTGGGGTTACATCATGTTGGGGTTTTTTGGAAAGATGAAAATGTTTCAAGTTTGAGGAAATCTCCCTCCTGCTAGTTTACGTTTTAAAGGAAAGTAAAGAGAATAAACGACTCTGGAGATAAATCCTTAAAAATTCCCCTTTAGCTTCTTAACCACTAAGCCTTCAGGGTCTTTGTGAGAGACCAACTCCGGCTGTTTTATCAGCTTTATCTTACATGCCATGGGGCACAGAGTGGTGTTGCTTCATCCACTTGCACTCTGCAGAGAAGAAGCAACACGGCTAAGCATCTAAAAATGACTGATGGTGACATATCACAGTTACGTTTCGAAGCTGTGCAGAACTCCACCTTCACCCTAAAGATTACAAACCATGGTTTTCTACGTCGGAGATACAAGCTCATCGAGGGTGTTACGACTGCTGATGCATTGGCTTCCCTCTCAGAGCCTCAACACTTATCTCTGCTGGTAGGCACTGCAGAGAAAGGTTTAAAAAAAAAAAAAAAAAAGGGGAAATGCTTCATAAGTCTGGGTCATTAAAAAGAATGAAGAAGTATTATCATATCGTGTCTTGTGTGTCATCTGTGTGAAGTTTCCATTTGTGTGTTTGTGTCTGTTGCTTTATTGTTTGTCACTTTCTGTTTTAAAGGGCTACTTTGATTGTTTTATAGTTCAGCTCTCTTATTTCTGCACATTGCTAGCCGTGTGTCGCTTTAACAGGTAGAGGATCTTAAGACCATATTTTAAGGCAGCTTAAGAAATAATTCAGAGTCTGAACTGATGTGCCGTTTGCACAAAGACAGACCCTTACCCTTTCCGTGACAGTTGTCTGTTGAACCCCCCCTCCCGACTCCTCCCGACAAATGTCAGGCTTTAATTCCAACAGAGCAAATGTCAAGGTTGCCCTCTAGTTGTATGTGCTTTTGTCCGCTCTGTGTTGAAGTCTTGTTCTGTTGCATGCGTCGGTCACCAGTGAGCTTGGACTGTTTCGAACCTGGTTGGGAACGCTGGAGAGAAGGTACCGCTTCAACACTTAGACCTTTCCCTGAGTGGAGAATAGGCGCCTTTTCTCAGATCATAGCCTGTGACCTCGAAGCCCATCCATTCCCTTTTTTTTTTTTTTTTTTTTTAAATCTAGCTTTCCCTAGTTACCCTTCTTTAAAAAAAAACTGCAAATTAGTTATGCATTAATTTGCATTTTGCATTGTAAGTTATACATTGACGTTACTTTGAACACATTTTTACTGCAAAAGTCTTAATGCACTGATTGAAGATTGTGAGGCTGCACACAGGCTGCTCCACATTTCAATAAAGTAGAGGTGCGCTCTACTATATGCGAACCAAGTATGCCTAGCATGGAAATCATCCAAGCTGCATCTTGAAAACACAGCTTGCATTATTGTCATGCATGGCCTTATAAGCGAGTGAAAATACTTTGAAGTTGTCAAGAAATTGGAAAATATTACAGCTGTTTTCTGTTTTACAATATGTAGTCACAACTAGTCTGCCTTTCAGCTGTATCCATAGCAGAGTAGTGTGTGTGTGTGTGTGTGTGTGTGTGTGTGTTAGGGCATATTTAATATATATATGGTGCACAACTTGAACATATCGACATCAAATCAAAAGATGTGTTTAAGCTGTTCACCCCACAGCTCCAGTGTTTGTATGAAACGCCTCTTTTTCTTACTGGATGGTCGACTGTAGACGAGATCTGCATGGGGACTGTTGTTTTGTTTTCATCCTCAGTCCCCCTCTAAGATGATTTTTTGTTTTAACTATTACCTCTTGATCCAGCACTATGTAACGCCCCCCCCCCGCAAAACTAACTGGTCATTCCTGCATGCGACACAGTTTCATGCTTGAAAATCTGTCTGCTCTATCCCTACAGGGGGAAATGGAACATGTAGTCCTTAAACACACAACACTGTTTTTAGGTTACCCATTTTTAAAAACAAGAAAACATGCCTTATATAATACAGTGAAGAGCCGTGAAAACCACATGGTTGTGTGGATTGCGCCCCTGTTGCTCAGTAGTTAATGCTGTTTCCCATGGCAACAGATACAAAACATACTCTAATATTGGACTACAGATGGGCAGCAAGACCACGTTTCTTTTGGTTGTTGGTTGTCTAGAGTTTCTGTTACTGACCAAATCTCTTGAGCGTGAAAATGAATTGACCAAGTACGTTTTATTTAAAAAGATATATATATAAATGGTGGGCTAAGCTTTTCACTGCACTGTTTGTGTTTCAAATACAAACTCCCCTTTTTATCCTATTAGACATTTTGTTTTTGATGTTCATGTTGACTTCACACATTTTTCAGTAGCCACAGACTCTGGCTACAGACTCCAGTCCGCCTGCAGCACTCTACAGTCGATTGTCCATTTGTTTTTAATTCTCTTATTTATTCCTCTCTCTCTATTTCTACCGTTGTGTATTTACTTAGTCTTTCAGTTTTTGAGCTTTTATCATTTTTATTTGTTGTGTTTTGCCTTCTTCCTCAGAGATACTAGTGCCACACACTGGCAGGGCAAATGCACACACACACACACGCACACACACACACACACACACACACGTGCATACATAGAAAGGTTTCCTGCTGTGTGCGAGTGTTTGTGGGTTTTTTTAATCTACGTGTGTGTGTGTGTGTGTGAGTGAGTGGGAGACTGAGGTTTGTGATGCTTTGCTCTACAGAGGCAAAGAGGATTGTGTGTGTGTGTGTGTGTGAATGTGTGTGTCTCACTGACCTGATGCTGACTTAAATATTGACTCTGCTGACATCAGGGATTTTGTGAAACATCAGGGCAAGCAGACGGTGAACAGACAGACACTTGTTTGATCTTATAAATAGCACATTAGAGCGGGATTATTGTTGTTTCTTTCTCTAACTTTATGTTTCTCTCCTACACCCCTCCTCTTCTAACCCATCCCTCTTTTTTTTTTTTTATACTTTTTCCATTCTTTCCACTTCTCTCTCTTCCACACCTCACTGTGTTCACCTACCTGTCCTCTCCTCTCTCTTTTGGATTCCATCCTTCCCAATCTTCATCTTTACTTTCTGCTTTCTTTTCTCTCGTCACCTCTCCAATCTCCATCACTATGAGTTCTTTTTTACACCTCCTCTCCTCGGCCTCTTCTTCGATCACACCTTCTTTCCTTTAATCCCTCTCCAATCTTTTCTCACTTCTTTCTTCTTCTCCACGTCCACCTCACTGCTCCTTTACACCCACCCCTTTTCTTCCCCCCCCCCCCCATCTGTATCACCTTTTCTTTTCCATACCTCCCACCTTTCCCCTCCTCTTACCTCTAAACCCTCCCCCCTATAGCGCCCCAACTCAGCGGCCTCCCGGTGCATCTCCATCTGCCCATAACATAAGCAGCGCTGCCGTGACAGACCGTCCCAACTTCTCCCGGGGGGTGGCCATCCGCAGCACATTCCACGCAGGCCAGCAGCGGGGTGCCCGAGACCAGCAGGGCTCCGCCTATCCCGGCGGGCCCGCATCCCCATCACTGTCCCACGGCAACAGCCAGGCCAGGAGGACACAAGGCGCTACAGGGATTTTCAGCAAGTTCACATCCAAGTTTGTACGAAGGTGAGTAGCAAGAAAAAAATGGAAGGAGCATGGGAAAGTGGGAAGGTAAATAGTCTAGATTCTGCTGGTGTTAGAGAGCAAAAAAAAGGAAAACAGCAAGACAGATTTGATGGGAGGAGATATGAAACAGAAGAATAAACTTGTAGCATAGTCACTGAAGCAGATGTGGTAGCAGCTGTGCTACTTATTATCGAGCTTTTCTTTGCGGCACAAGTAGCGTTTAAGGCTTTTTCCGTCTGAAACAGTAAATGACTAGTTCTGGTTTGAAGTCATTGCACATGCTCATTTCCTCTCGGGAACAACACGCTGTATATACGTCCATGTCATCACTGGTTTGAGTATTTCTTTAAAGGAGCTGCTCTGGTCTCATCCCTATTACTCAACTGCTGCTGATCTGTAGCTCTGCTCGGAGTAGAAAGGGAGAGGAAGGCAACAGCTGTGTGTTCTCTGTAATTTAGTTTGGAGCAGTGGTGACTGGGGAGTCATTTTGGTTTTTGGTTCGATGTCTGGCCCAGTGTGCATCTCGGTCCTCTAGGGCAGGTTACAGCACCAAAAACTGCTCTCGCGAGTACCTGAGCATAATAGCTCAACAAAATAAACAACTAAAAAATCTCTCTGGAAGTGCGGTCTAGCTTTGATGACACCCTGCTATGTCTGTACATTGAGGTGTAGAAGGCTCAGTGTGGTTGGGTAGGATGTGATGCGTCTATGTAGAACGGATATTTCTGCGTTGGCTTTTTTTGGTTGGACAAAAAATATTGGCCATACATTTCAAGTGACATTAAAGGCAGATTCCACTAATTAAAAAGCGAGAGAAGGACATAGGTCTCTGCTTATTTCATTACATTAGCTTGGAGGAAAGCCGATAGAGCAGCAAAGATGAAGACATCCTCCAGTTTCTCCCAGAGGTTCATTCTGAATGAAATTCTTTAGTGTGTATAAAGAAAGGGAGACAAAAGAGAGATCGAGAGAGAGCGAGTTAAAAGTGTTGTTTCGGCTGATACAGTTAGCTTGAAAAAGGGAAATGCAGAATAATCGACTGTTTCCTGCATGCGTGGGTGTGTCTGTGTGTCTGTCTGTGTGTGTGTGTGTGTGTGTGTGTGTGTGTGTGTGTGTGTGTGTGTGTGTGCCTGTGTGTGTGTGTCTGTGTGTGTGTGTGTGCATAAGGCGGAGGTACAGGCACAGCCACTCTCTAGGCCTCCCACTCAGAGATACTGTAGCTCCGTGGCGACAGTATCCATGGTTACACCGGAGATATCACTTTTCCCTCAACTATAAATACCGCTAGTGGGGACACCTTGACACACATGCATGCATGCACTCACACACACACACACACACACACACACACAGCGACTCGATAGTTGGCATGCTAGTAGGAAGTAGAGGTGCTGTAGTCCGAGATTGTGTTCCACTTGTACAGTTTGAACAAACACTCACACACACTGACTGGAGCTGTGTGTGTTTTATTAACATATCATGTATCTGTATCGCTGCACTTTCCAGCATGGAGGGCAGAGAGATGTTTTTCCGTCCTTCAAACACGTCCATGTGTACACAGTGTGTGTGTGCGCGCGCGAGTTTGTATGTTTTTGTGTGAGTAGATTAAGTTTCTCAATGTGTGGTAAAGATTAAGTTCTTGCTTAACCTGTGCTTTTTTTTTTTTTTTTTTTTTCTCTCATTTATTCAAAATATGTATCTGTGTGTGTAATAGGATGTGGTGTTCTCCCTTTTTGTTTGAGTTTTTTTTATCATGTCTGAACTTCTCACCTCACAAACACTTCTTTTCAGATCACCCTGGACTGCTCTGTAAATGGAGAAGCGCTTCATTTCAAGTCGGGGGAGGGGAGGGGCGGGGAGGGCGGGTCAGGGTATGACTTTGTTCAAACACGGTCTCATAATAGCATTTCCCTGTGAGCTGATTAAACCCCTCGAATGTGTTTCAGTGTGCATTTAATAACATTTGTTAACACATTCACACCAATAATTCCCACCTTTTTAATCACGTTCGGATTGGAAGTCAGTGGCAGAAAACACTGACTGATATTTGTTGTTTTCTTGCTTTGTTTGTTATTGAATGTTCATTGTGGTTGTTGCTTTATTCTGAAGTAAGCCTGCTACATGTTGGACTTTTGTTTCCCCCTCACATTTGACTACTACTCAGAAGGCAGCTTGTCTTATACAGGAAAGTCTTTTAAGTCTATACTTTTTTATACATACGTTTGTTTCTCTTTCTTTCTTTATCCCTCTTTTGTTTTTGTAGAAATCTCTCGTTCAGGTTTCCGAGAAGGTAGGCAACATCCCAGACGTTAAATATATATAACCCCTTTTATATATACGTTTATTCTCTCCTTCATATATATTTCACATATATATATTTTTTCCTCCCTTTTTGGTGTTTCGTGACGCTTTTTGTTGATCTCTTCCTTTGTGCCTTGAGCCTTATCTCTTTTTTTTTTCTGTGGTTGCCCCCCCCCTCCACTTTTTTTTTGAGCCTTCTGGTTTTGAGTGGCGTGTTATGGCCCATTTTTTTTTTTAATTACCTTTGTATTTTTTCTACTAACTTCACCCTCACCCAGCCATCCTGTCACTTAACCCACTCACTCACTCCATTATCATGCGGCACAATAACACCTCAACCCTCTGCCTCTTACCTCCCTCCATCGTCCTCCCATCAAGCGACCCCCCCCCCCACACACACACACACACCTCTCCATTGGTTTAGCAGGTAGAGCGTGTGTCAGCTGGTGTGTCCCCCTGTAGCACCCTGGATTTAGGTCAGGGCTTAATGGTGCAATAGATCAAACTATTCCCCTCTAACTCTTAACCCTTTCCATCTCATAGCCTCAGACGCAGGTGTTAATCGACCTTTTTTTTTTAGTTCGATTGATAACTTCCTCTCCAAGTCCTAAACTGTTGAGGTAATGGAATAAAATCTATCCCAGAGAAGAAGAGCGAGTCTGAGATGAATATTCTCATATCTTTAACATGTGAGGAAGATAAGAATCACAGGGATAGATTTTGTGTATGAAAGTGATTAACAGGCATTTCATTCCTGCTGTCACATTTCCATGATAACAATTATCCAAGCTAACGTCATTTAAAAAAAAAAAAAACCATCATCCATCCATGTCACCACTCTGCTTTCATTGGTTTGCTCTCTTGAATCAAATAAGCTGTCGAGGCAGGCGTTGTGTTTTTTTTAGATCATAGTGTACGTTTTTGGATGCAAGTCTCTGGCTGTAGTCTAAAGTTGTAGACGAGGAGGGACGGATGGAGGGTGGTGGGGCGGCAGCGCGGGGGGGCTAGAGAGGACCCAGGAGGGACGGTGCTGCAGTGTTTCTCAGGCTGCACTCTTTTTCTGGAGGCTGCACTCCTTCCTTCTTTCTTTTCATTGCTCTGTTCTCACTCCCGGCGATGGCTCTCTAACAGAAGCAGCAACAGAACTGGATGGCTTTGACCTACTGTGGCTGGAACACACCATAATGCTGTGTACACACACACACACACACACACACTCCATTTCATACAAATGTATATCTATATTAACACTGATCAAGCAGACCATATGTACAAACACTTCTTCTCCATGCTCATGCAGATATTTGCACTACAAACAGATTTAATACACATGACACATTTAACATTAAAATTTGCTGATACAGATTTCACATTTTTACAGACCTGCTGTTGAGTGTGTTTCTTGTTTCAGGTGGTAGAGCAATTGTTCCTTAACCAGGACTATTGCTCCCCCTGGTGGTTAGAAGTTGCAACTATATTTTAATATGACAGTATAGTGATGAATTTAAATCTACTTTTTATCTACATTTTTGGGCTACTTAGGGCTTCTCATTAATCCTAACGGATGAAAAATAGAATTAAAAGAAAATAAACATGAATGAATAGTGGGCAAAGTGTTCTGTTGATTAATTATTGCACTTCACGTTGTGGAGTGCACGTTCAGGACAGCCAGACGTATATATGGGATGCATTTGAGTTCAAGTAATCATCCTTGATTTGCCTTTATGTGCCCGTGTCCCTCCGCTGGGAGTCATTCTGCATCCCTTCATATTTCATACAAGGCATGCGAAAGTGCAAGAACAACTTAATCTCACCTTGTTCACCAGTCGACTGTTTAAGAGCTCCTTGTTTCACTTTGTTCACGCCTCTCACGTGTCACTCCCATATGCTATAATTTAACCATGTGTCTGTTACAGGGGATATTTCTCATGATGTACTTTTGGATGTATTTTTTTTTTTTTTTAAAAAGTGGCAAAACAGGAATGATGCCTCTCCCCATAACAGAATCAATTTAAGACCTCAATAATTCATTTTATTTTTTTACCTGTCACTTTTTCTTCCATTGTCTGCATGTGTTTCGCTGTTCTGTCTGTTTTTATTTATTGTATCTGTTGTCGCCTGTGTGTCTCCATCGACTCTGTTTTGTCTGGTCAGTCGGTACGAGAGGGAACCCGTGTGTGTGCGTGTGTGTACATGTGTTTGTATCCAGGTTGTAGCTGCAGTGTTTTCAGGGAGTGTCTGTGTTCAGCAACCTGTGTTTAGGTTACAGTGCTACTAATCAAGGTTTAGACGCAGCGCTGGGATCATTAATGCTCCTAACCTCCTCAAGTTGCACGACTCGCCCTCACCATGCTGACTTTTCTGTTCCAAACCATTCCATCTGGGGTCCAAATCTCTCCATCCGTTTTTTGTCCCACCTAACATTTGTTTAAAACACTCCATACTGTGCCAATCCACTCTGTTTCCTTTTTTACCGTAGCTCTCCAGCTGGTTCTTTAATCCTCCAAAGGCTCATTATGCTGGAGCGATCACGTCTCGTCGAAACTTCCCACTAACTTAGAACTTAGAACCACTTTATTTGTTAAACTCCGACACCAGGTCATTCAGGTCATCATATTTGTTCTCATCCATCCATCACCTATTTCAGATCCATCCTGCAGCTTCTTCCATCTTAGCCTCGTTCTCGATAAAGTGTCACTAAGCAGTTTAAAGGTCATTTTAAAGATTTGATGTTTACAAAGCATTTCTATGTAACGAGCAGGTGAACACATGATCCTAAACTAACTCAATGTATCGTCATTGTAAGTTGTGTTAAAGCAGTGATGCTCTAGTGACCTTCTGGTAACACAGTTGTTTCTGATTAATACAGCTCTTGTGTATTTTTCCCAGCATGCAATTCGTTCAGGACTAGTGTGTATTCAGTTTCGACGCTCCTTTCTTTTGAATGCAACCTGATCTATGGCTGATGTCTGACGAACGAAGAGTGTTTTAAAAGGCAGATGTTTTTTATGAACAGCAGCTGAACCTCTTTAGAATTTGTTGAACGGTCATGACGTCTCCTGAGAAGCGTGGTCGTGCTGCGTACACAGAGTGGAATGGCATTGGGAGCTGCACTGCGGGGCTGTAACGTCCTCAGTGCTTAACGATTAAACTAAAGCACTTTGAATAGAACTCACATCTTTGGCATCAACGTGGTTGGATTTGGAACATTCAGGCAAGGCATGGCGAGCAGAGCAACTGTGTTCAGCCCGCTGATTAACGTATCTTGTTTTTTTATTTATTAAGAATCCAAATGTTTAGCCCTTAGCCCTGAAAAAGACTAAACTTTTGTTGATTTTTCTCGAGGAGTCCGTATGAGGGAGAGGGTCGGGATGAGGGGAGCAGGTGAGATACAGAACAGCCCGAAAAACCGACAAATCCCTACAAATCCCTCAGGCTCTACCCCAAAAAAAAAAACCCGCCTGCCAATCAGTAGACTGGGAGCCAAGTAGTAGATGATCTTTGAGCTTGTTGTGAATGGCTGGGAGAGGGAGGGGCGAGCTGGGAGCTGGGATGTAATTGGTTGGTGATGGTGTTATTTGCTTAACCAATCAGGAGTTGAGAGATTAGCAACAACATGGTAGCATCCCAGAGAGTGAAAGTGCTGGTGTGGAGGTTGACCTGCATGGTGGGGGGTGTGTGGGTGTGTGTGTGTGTGTGTGTGATGAAAAATCAAAATCCAAGTACCCTAATGTGTGTTTGTGTGCAGGCAGATTTTAAATTTCCTGAAGCACAAACCAACATTTATTTAACCTGAAAGACGTGTGCGCACAAACACACGGGTACTTTTGGAAATTTTGCTTAATGTCTCCATACGTTTTCACGACCTCATCATCTCCCTCTTCCTCTCAATCACTCCCTCCTCATTCCCTCCTTTTTTTTCTTTTTTTTGTCTTTACTCTTTTTGTAATCCTCTCTATTCTTACACACTTCTTTTTTTTTTCTCTTTGAATGACCTCATCCCGTCTCCTCCCACCCTCACCCTTCCTCCTCCCTGCCTCTTCATCCTGTCCCTTTATTTTTCTCTTCCTCCCTCTGCTGTCTCACCTCTTTGTCCGTCCTTTTCCTTTTCCTTCTCTGCCTCTCCCCTTCTTTTTCTTCTTCTTCTTCTTCTTCTTCTTCTTCTTCTCCACCCTCCCATCCTGCCACCAGGTCTATGCTGAGCAGCACAGTGGACAAGTCGGAGAAGACTTCAGGTGGTGTTCTCTCCTCCTCCTCCAACAACGATGAGAACAACTCTTCACCAGGATCTGGTAACACTGGTGTGTTTGCTTTGAACACTAGAATAGAAACAACACTCACTGTGATGGTGTCCGCTGCACCCTACACTGTGTATCGTCTCTGGATTTACAGTTAAACCAGTCTTATTGTGATGTTGCTGTGATTTATTTTGCTACAAGACGGGGGTCTAAAGTCTCAGATGAGTGTTTCTACCCTCTACTAAATGTTGACTAGCATAACTACAGCTTACTAGTCGTAAGTATGACTTGTCCAAAATAGTAAGCAGCTGATTTGGAATACAATATTCAACAAACCAGTCTACCTACTACTGTTTCCCACAATGCAAAGCGTCAGTCCAAAGATCAAAATGATGGACAGCAAATGCCGTCTCTTTTTGGGCCCTGTAATGTATTTATACTAGAGATAGGACATCAGAAACCCGAGAGAGAGAGAGAGAGTGGGGAACGACATTTGGGAAAGGGGCCACGGGTCGGAATTTGAATTTAGGCCGCCCGCTCTCGAGGACTGGAGCCTCAGCACATGGGGCGCACTGTAAGTGGATGCTACGTTGAAGCAGCGTTTGCTGTCAGCTGGGCTGTTCTTTACTTTTACTTTTAACGGAAACCAGCTTAGCCGGGTGTAGCATATTGCAAAAATAACCACAGACTGGCACTCTTACTACATACTGCTGTTGAACATAGCATACAGTATAGAGTACATACTGCTGACTGTGTTCAATAGAAGTATGTATTTGTAGGTAGTTTCAGAAAATACCAGGATGAAACGTCTTTGCTGTTGTTGGAGCATAACTTGAAGTAACTAAGGGAGATGAACATGTCACTGTTCTTCTGGTTAACATGTAGAAACTGGTCGATCTGTGTCATCTTGAGTTATTTGTCTTTTTTACATCTACTCAGAATTCTTCCCTCGTGCTGCTTCATTCCTCTCGTCTTCCGCCCTCTCACCACTCCCTCTCTTTACCGTCAGGTGGAACCGGCAGCCCTCCAGCCATCACCAGCCAAAAGGACTCGGCCAAGCCGCGCTCGCTCCGCTTCACCTGGTCAATGAAGACCACGTCGTCCATGGAGCCCATGGAGATGATGCGCGAGATCCGCAAGGTGCTCGACTCCAACAGCTGCGAGTACGAGCTGCGCGAGCGCTACATGCTGCTGTGCGTGTCGGGCAACCCGGCGCGCGACGACTTCGTCCAGTGGGAGATGGAGGTTTGCAAGCTGCCTCGGCTCTCCCTCAACGGCGTGCGCTTCAAGCGGATCTCAGGCACATCCATCGCCTTCAAGAACATTGCCTCAAAGATTGCCAACGAGCTCAAACTGTGAGTGCAGAGGAAGCAGCGAGGAGGGATGAGACGAAAGGGTGGAGGTGGGTGGGTGAACAGGGTGAAAGCTAGAGGTGATGCTGTGAGCAGGGTGAGGGCACTATGGAGGTTAAGCTAAAGAGTGGGGTCACTTTAAATAACATGATTGTTATCTGGACAAAGGTCTGAAGTAGGGCTATTGGTTCTCTTGAGAGTAGAAAATGTTTCCTTTCTAGAAGTTCTGTTCGTTCAGTTCCTGAGGCCCTGCAGTAAGAAACTCTGAGTTGATTTCCTCTGAGTTGTGAAGGACTTGTAGACCGAGATCTTCTCTCTTCCCTGCCGGGTTTCTTTTTCATGTTCTACTTAGACGTTCCACACTTCTGCATGTCTGATCTCCGTTTTTAGAAGTCACCCTTTTATCACTTTGACCACTCCTCGTCACTACTTCCTGCTATTTATTCAGTTTTTTTTTTTTCTGCACGGATCTGCTGCCAGATCTTTTCTGGTAGGAGGGAAACCAGGTCAAAGGTGGGGTGGGTTGGTTGGTTGGTTGGTTGGTCGGTCAGTCGGATGGAGGACAAGGAGAGGAATTGCTGGAGGAAAACAAAAAGTCTTTCTGTGTTTCTCTGAATCTCTAATAAGTGCTGATGAGGGGGAGGAAAGTTTGGAGCCTTATTTTGCTGGAAAACTCGAAAAAGAGTTTAGATTGAATTTGTTCTCGTTCCCCTCCAAAACGGAATGGACTCCCAACTGAGCCAGGACTTTGGTTGCTGAAGCCCACTGTCTCACACACACACACACACACACACACACACACACACACACACACACACACACACACACACACACACACACACACACACACACACACACACACACACACACACACACACACACACACACACTCTCACAAATGGACTTTGGATGGATGAACTCTGCTGACTGTTGGTTAACGGACACCCGCCTCCCCCTCCCGCCCGGAAACAAACTTTTTAAAGATCCACCAGATCCACCAACCTCCTCACACACACACACACACACACACACACACACACACACACACACACACTCATAAAAAAAACACTTAACCACCCCCTCTCCCTTCTTATTTCCAAGTGAACTCAGCACAAACACATCCACCTGTTCACCTTTTCACTCCCTGTTTTGTTCTTTATTTCTCTCATGCCATCAAGTCGGAGGAAGCCAGTCAGACTTGATGCCGCCATTGATTGTACAGACTTCATCTTTAATGAAGTCCGTACTTGATTTTTTCTTTCCCTTCGTCTTTTATGGCTTTTAAAGAGTTGTGCACTGGAAAAGAGGGCATACGAGGAAACTGGGGAGGGAGGGAGGGAGGGACGGTGTATTGACAGGTTTGATCCAGGATGTTATGTTGCCTTTCTTTATGGAGTCAAATTGGGTTTTTTTTTTTGTTTTTGTTGCATATGTCAGCACATAAATGCTCAAATGATTTATTTGTACTATTTTTGTTTATTTTATTTTATTTTTTTGCTTCAGTTGGCATCATGCCTTCATACCCAGAATGTCAACACTGAACCCACTCATGCTGTTGTTGTTTTTTTCTCCCCTAATCCCCTCTTTGCTACACGTGTTCCCAAAGAGCAAACTCACAAACAAAGGTGTCTTTGGAGTCTGTGACAAACAGTAAGTGTGTGTGAGTGTATTTTAAAAGAAATCACTGGAAAACAAAAAAAGAGAGAGGAAAAAAAGAAAAACGATCGACAAAGGACGACAACGAATGGTGAATTATTTTCTTCTTCTACTTTTGATTTGATAATATATTTTTGTGTCGTTGAGATTTTTTTGGGCTTGTACAGATTTGGATTTGTTTCAGGGCAGAGGGATCACGTTGGATCATATCATTGCTGCCTTTTCGGTGTAGTGCACCTTTAACACACACACACACACACACACACACACACACACACACACACACACACACACACACACACACACACACACACACACACGGCTTCTAGTTCATCAAACTAAACACCAACCCCCCCCAGTTGCTGACAGGAGATATCGATGTATTTTATGATGGTGATGATGACGGCAGCTTGCTTGTTCATCCTTGGCAAAAAAAAAAAGAAAAAGATTTTTAGTTTGTTTTTTTTATTCGTTTTTTTTTGTTTTTTTTAAAGGCCTTATCAGTCGAAAAGGCTTGAAGCGGAGAGAGAAGTGAAGGCTTTAGGTCGGAACGTTTCTCACGTCTGCGCACATTTTCACGTTTAAAACCACAGAACACAAGACGCCACTTCTGTCGTCTCTCGCTGCGTTAATGCTCTCGGTCGTTGAAGCAGAAGAAAACACACACACACACACACACACACTCTCGGGGGTTTTGGAAAAAAAAAGAAAAAAGGGGGGGGTGATGGGGACAACGCTTGGTCCCTTCAGCTGGTTGTACCTAACTTAACACTTTTCTTTCTCTCACAATGACACACTGTCGTTTTATTATTTCTTTCCGTTTTGAAATGTCCGATCTTTCTTTCAAAGTTGATCATTGTATTAAGGTGCTGGGTATTGGATTCTAATTATTACTCTGGCTGTTGCTGTTATATTATCTCTTTCAGGGTTGATTTAATTTGACATTATTTCGTTTTACATTGCTGTAATTTACATTGATTTTAAATGTGTTTTGAGCAAACTGTAACTGTAGTGGTGGGTTTGGGGTTGGGAGGGCTGATCAGCTCCTGAAAAATGTATTATTTGTTTGTTTTTTTGTGTAAAGACAAAATGATGAAAAATTACAATGATAGTAATAAAAACAATGATATAATGATAGTGTGCCTCTGTAACCTGTCGTGTGGAAAGCAAGATAAAGGTGAAATAATCCTGGCATTCATGGATCTCATTCATACATCCCTTTAAAGCATTATACTGGTTTATAATCTGAGATTGACACCAATCGACTGGTTAAAGAGGGAATCAGTGCTTTACTCGGGGACAATGATACATCTGAAGTCCACTATGACTGCCGCCATCTCATTCTTCAGCAGGTTCAGCTTGAAGTGGTTCTGACCACACCAGCAACTCAAAACCAAACAGTACCAGCATGCTTTTCGAGGTGTTGTGTGTCGGTTTAGGAAAATAGACATTTCTTTGAGCTGCTACAATCCAGGTAAAAATATAGGCGCCAATAAAATGGTCTTAAAAGCACAAGAGCAGACCTCATAATTATCAAATGAAGGTGGAGACCCACTTTGATTTTCCTTAATTATTCCCTCCAGATGCAGGTTCCCTATCAAATAAACAAATGAACCAGTTACATGAAATAGTAATAATGTTGTTGAGGCCCTGAGTGCACTGGAGCCACAGACAAATATTCCAGCATTGTCAGTAATGAGATCATAAGAAAGTCACATTATTATTTTCAGGGGTTGCCTTTAGCTCCCTCTAGTGGTTTTGTCTATTTCCTGGAAACTAGTTGACGTTTCTAATGTTAAGATAAACCCTCCACTATAGTCAGATGGAGCCTTACTCAGAGATATACATTTGATCAGTTCCTGTTGTCCCTCAGTTTGTGGTGTATTCAGTCATTGCATCCCTTAAAGCTATCAAGACCAAAAGTTGTTTATGGTCTTCAACCTGGAGTCAGTTTGTGTAGGCCTTCTTCTCTAAAGCCATTACATGTCTGTCCCCCGTTTCATTCTTTTTTTTGTTCATTCTCTCAAGACTAGACAGGCCTCTTGTGCACAGGTAAAGCCCCAACGTGCAGCTTCCAATGTGGAAGCTGCAGGTGGCCAAACCTGATGGGAGTGAACAGATGGTGTTTGGTTATGGCTTTAGCTGTTGGAAACAGATGATGTGCACCTGAAGCGCATACATATCTGTTGTAAACACAAAATTAAATAGACTTCAATTTGTCTGTTTCCTCCTCCACTCTGAGCAGCTCGGGCAGCTAACTTTTTAAATATGACAAAGACGTTTATTTGGTCATTTCTTTATTCTAGAAAAAAACATTTCTCAAACACAAACAGTTCAGTTTCCACAATGTAAACAACTTCTCACATACAGTACACACAAGCAGTTTTTTTGGAAGGAAAAAAAAAAGGGGGGGGGGGACAAATGTGAGAAAACAAGTCCAGGCAAAGTCAAAAGTCAATCCACTTGAAAGCCAAACACAGTAGGCTGCTCTGGTTCCTGCTTAGTGCTGTGTACATTTGAACCCTGAAGGCCTCTGCTAACAAAAGTAGCTAATGTGAGACTGTATCTGTGGCGAAGCACTGAACTCAGATTATACACGAGGTCTGATGCCAGGTCCGCTCACAAAAGGTAGAGATACACAGGCGGAGAGTTTGTGGAGAAGAATTGGCAGGGACTGACGGATTCAACTACAAATATGTCTCCACAGCAGAGGAGCATTCGGTCACCTGCATGTGCTCATGGACGTGGCCAACATCACCACAAGCTAACGGAACATTTCCGAAGACAAACTGTTACACGTCTGAAACACAAGATGAAACACTTTCAGCAAGCTCATCGGCTAAATCACTTCTCCCAGCAGCCGTTAAAATCCTTCTGTGACCGGAGAAGGAACTCGCAGACAGAAAACGGCTTCTCCTGGACGCAGAGGGCTTAAGGAAGTGTTCCTGCCATCTTTGTAAAAATCCACCTGTGTAATTGTTCTGACATGCTGTGACGCAATCTCAACCAACATGTGCTAGTCAGGCTGACGTACAGAGGAGTTGTATGAATAGTTTGCTTTTCAGTAAATACACATTCAAAGTCACTTTCTTGCAAAGGGTTATTTATCGCTCACAGGTCAGTATGGAACTACTTCAACAGCTATCTTAGCATAAAGACTTGAAACAGATGGAATCATCCTACTTGGCTTTGTTCAAAAGAAGAAAAAAAAAAAAATGCCTGCCAGCATCTCACCAAATGACAAAGCATTATCTCCTTCATTTAGTCCATAAAACTCAAGAAGCCACGTTAGAGAGCCTTTTATTTTACCTGGAAAGTGTTTCTTGGCAGCCAGCAGTTACTACAGATCATTGTTAGTCCTGACCAAAAGAAAGAAATAAACACAAGCTGGAAAAGAAAAGAACTCTCCAAACTAACCCATTTCTCTCTATTCAACATGAAATAGCTCTTTCGTTTGGAGGCTTAGGAGATGCTAGCAGGCGGATTGTGTTAACTTTGCAAGGAGAAAGACTCGCTGTCACTTCACAGTCAGCATACAGACACAGAAGTTTTTTTTCCCTTCACACATCTGGACTCATCCTTAATGTAAATCAACAATGTAAGGTTCACACTCTGCTGCTCAACAGCTCACTGGAAATATGAGAATTTGGTGGGTCGATGAGTTTTTAAAGCAAGGAAAGACTTTGGCACAACATTTTGTTTTCAGCGTCTGTAGGAGGTCACGTCTGGCCCTCGCTGTAACCCGCGTTCAAGAGTCAGTCGTCTGCACACGTCTTCCACAGAGACTGATGTTTCTTCTGCTGTTAAAGCCATTCACAACAGAACATACTGCTCAAAGAAATTAAAGATAAAAAAGAAAATAGCAGTAGGTCTTCCAACACAAAGGAAAAAATAGCCGAGGCCAATGTCTTCATGAAAGTGAGTCCACCCCGTGTTCAGGACTTTTCTCTCCTTAGTGCTCAGTCAGCTTTCACCATCATCATAATAAAGTTTGCACTACCTCAACTACTACAACAACTAATGTATCTAGGGGCTCACTTTAAAAGTCTAGTCAAAAAAAAAGGGGGGGGGGACGTCACTCCAGTAAATACTAGTAATACATGGCTATGAGAGAAGAGGGAGACGTCTCAGCTCTTGCTCTTCTTTTTTTTTCTCTCCATTTTTTGCACCAACAGCTTCAACGATTAAAAAGCCGAAGCAATCATCTCGTAGCTTCAGCGATAAAGCCCTGCTTCTTCAGCGAGAGTACCTTTACGCTCCTTTATAAGCATCTTGGTTTTAAAGCACAGCTCAACGACAGGAAGGCGTGTTTCTTGGAACACCTGAATGAGTTCCTGATCCAGGACGGAGCAGGTTTGACTCGGATGGGATGCAACACTTCTATTCATTATTAGATTTTTCCTGGAGGTCGCTTTGGATGACTTGATACCTTCCCAAGTGGAGTCTAGGTTTCCAGTGTGTGTGTGTGTGTGTGTGTGTGTGTGCGCATGAGTTCAAACACACTCCTCTGTAATCCAGATGTTCAGCAGTTGCCATGGAAACGCGCAGATGGGTTTCGCTCCGTGGTCATGGTATCTCTTCAACAGCTTGACAATCCAGTGTCTCTCTTCGCATTTTGTACTGAGAGCAGTGTGCAGGTAGTGTTTGTTGTGAGTTCCTAGGTTGTTGGTGTGTGTGTGTGTGTGTGTGTGTGTGTGTGTGTGTGTGTGTGTGTGTGTGTGTGTGGTGACGCAAGAGATGGTTGGTCTGGAGGTAGGTGTTTGTTAGTACAGTAAAGGGGCTGCAGGCCGTTGCCCTTACAAAGTGGACCTGGGGGGGGGGGGGTCCTCACTCTTTCTGTCACATTTTAAGAGCTATGATGTCACCTTAGGGGCCTGAGTGTATTCATGTGGTCATGTGACGTGTGATGGTCCCGGGAACAAAGGCTTCCAAGATGGAGTTACAGGGTGAAGGAATGTGTTGGTATTTTGTCTACATGCTGTTTTTGGTGTGTATGGATGTTTATTTTCCTATAAATAAAACTGTCTGTGTATGTGTGAGGATGTGTGTATTTATGTGTTTGAGTAATTTGTGTGTGTGTAGGTGTGCGTGTGCGTGTGCGTGTGCATCAGTGGGAGTTGGGCTGCTCCACTTTCAGCCCGACCAGTGACGGAGGCACCTGCACTGCAGTGGAGGAGGAGCTGGGAGGTGAAGCCCTGAGGCTGGCGCTCCCGTTGGAGGAGGTGGACGAGGTGGTCACGGCGGGCCTGATGAGGGGCGGCGGAGGGTGGTTGTGGGGCGCTCGGTTCTGGAGCGGGCGCGTCTGCAGGGGAGGTGGCTGACGGAGGAGGCTCGGGGGAGCCGAGGGAGGCGCGGGGCGCAGCAGAGGAGGTGGCTGGGACAGGGAGGAGGGAGCCTGGGAGGAGGAGGAGGAGGAGGAGGGGGGAGAGGAGCCCTCGGCGAGGTCGGAGGGAGAGTCTTCCATCTTGACCTGAGGGCGGGGAGGGGAAGAAAATGAAGTGAGATAAGAAGTCAGTTAGGAACAGTTGTGAGGAAAATACAGAGGAGGACATTTTCAACTATTCAACTCAACGTGAGTTTAAGAAGTCTTTTTAAATTCAGCTTCATGGTTCTTTATGTCTCGTGTATCAGCTGCTTGGCTCACCTCGTCCTCGTCTGCGGCTCCGTCTGTAGCAGCTGACAGCTCCTCAGCGCTCCTCCTGGGGTCTCGCTGGTCTCGGCTGGTCGCCACCTGCTCGGCCGCCCACTCCCTCAGCACCTCGTCCAGGTTGAACCGGCGCCGGTAGCTCACAAAGAAAGAGCTCACCTGTTCAGACGGGAGGCCGCGAGTTAGAGAGACATGAGGGACGACAGAGACGCTGTACCGCGGTGAAAGACACAGAGCAGAGAGAGTGGAGGTGACGAGAGGAGGGTCGACGGACATTATAGTTATCTTCTACAGAAAAAATACTCAAAAGGACGAGAGAGAGAAATTGGAGGATGTTGAGAGGCGGCTCGCAGAAAGCAAACTGCAGGATGGCTCAAAGTTTTTCTCCAAATCTGATGTGAAGATGCTCACCTGAGCTGGCGTCTTGGTTCCTATCACCTCAGCAATGGCAGTGAAGTCTTTACCATAGCGACGTATAGCTGAAAAGCAGACAGGGAAAGGTCAGGTTCTGTTTATTATAGGGCTGTCAAGCATTAACTAGTTAAATCCTGATTCATTTAGGTCTGAAATGATGCATTCATTTATTAATCATGTGCTTTGTTTTGTCCCTTCAGGCGCACCATGGATAAGCCTTCCTGTAGTCACAGTGATGGAAAAGAGCGACACTGCTGCGTCTTTGAATGTCTCTTATCGTTTAAACAAATCCAAGTTGTGTCTGAGAGGAACAAAAAGGCAGAGTGGAAGAAGTGTTGTGAGCCGGCTTGTTGATGTTTTCAGTTAACCTACATCTGAAGTCGGCTGGCTATGTGCACCTGGCTCTTTTCAAGGTCTGAGCTGCTTGAAACAAACACAACTCTGCACTTCCTTCAGCTCTGACTCTCTCTCTCTCTCTCTCCTGTTTGCTCGACAGAAAAGCAGAAGGTGGCGGCGCTGCCTTGCTGCCTTTAGTTGCAATACATGGATTTGAACTACAGAACCTGAAATCTTTAAAAAAAACGACTCCTAAGCTTCCAACTAGTCCAAAAAAAAAGATTAACAGCAGAAAACAATTCTTTAACGTTTTGAACACAATCTCTGATCAATGCAAAATCAATATCAGAACCAATCAGCAACCCTGTCTAGAGGGACATGGTGTGTAGCTCTCGGGGCACTCCCTGGTGGATAATTCCTCATCAAAAAGTCCCCAGAACTGTTGGGTCCAAAAACACTTAATGATCGCTGACAGCTAGTTTCATCCCAGCTGTTACCCTGCATCCTACCTCAAAGATCTTGTAGCGCCAGCTGGTTCTATTTTTGTCTGCAGACGTCTGTTCGTATAGTCAACGCAGAGTGAGTCAGACGGGATCCATGGCCTGTAGGGCTCTGTGTCCGGACCAACATACAATAAGTAACATCTTCTGTCATGAAACCTCGTCTGAAGCAGGGCCCTCCCTGAATGCCCTTTCTGTTCGTTGACTGTGCCTCTTTATTTGACAGAGCGCCATGGAACAGTAGCCGCTTTACTCCTCCTTACAACTTTAGTTCACTTCCATCACAGCTGGAAACTAAATCACAGTAGCTCCTATTTATTTCAGTCATAGTCCGAGTAAACAAAATGTAAACGCACTTCCTCGCTGTGAACGGAGCGTCACATTTCATGGATGTTTATATTTGAGGTTTCCTTCTTCTAATCACCGGACATATTGTTTCAGCCAATGCAACACCAGAGGCGGGTTTGTGCCATCTGATGATAATTCCTGACATGCCTTATAGTTTACTCAGGCTGTGCACAAGGCTACAGCATTACAGGTTGACCTTAGCCAAAGGGCGATCTTCAGATGGTAAATAATCTTAGTCTAGCTTTTGTTAAGATGTCTCCTTGGCTGCATGTGTCTGTGCTGTCGCGTCTACATGACATTAACACAGGCAGCTTGTGTGAGTGGAAAACGTGAAGATGAATTAAACAGTCAGACTTCTGCCTGTGAATGAAAGGAGGACGAGGAGACTCAAGAGCACAAGAAGCCTCTGTAGGAGGAAAAAGAAGATGCTGCTGCTGCTGCTGCTTTACTCACCCTGCACGGCCAGGAGTTGCTCCTCTGTGGTCCAACGAGAGTTCATCTTAGGTGCAGGCTAGAGAGAGAGAGAGAGAGAGAGAGGAGTTAGATTGTTAGAAAGAGAGGGGTGACACTGACAGCATGAGAGCAAAGAGCAGATTAGGGCTAATCTTAGTCCCACAAGGGCTGAAATGATGTGAGAAAGGAGTTGAGGAAGGGCAGGGGAAATACATTTAAGGACAGAGAGAGACACTGAATAGAAGAGAGTAGTTGAGAAAAAGGTGTCAAAAAAAGAAAGAACGACACAAAAAAAGAAAACAACGTACCTCAGCAGGTTTGAAAGTACCAACGCCTTCATTTAAACTTTGTTTCAAACTACTGTTGTTCTGTTTAATCGACTGAACCTGTGAGAAACGAGGAGGGAGAGAGAGAGAGAGAGAAGGGTTAAAAAACAGGGATTGATGCTAATAACCAAAACTAAGTTTATCCTTGATGTCAGCAACAACAACAGTATTCTTTATAACAGTATATTTTTTAACACCAGCTGCTCCAATATCTATGTGACATCATTTTATTATTTGCTACAGTTGATTCTTAAACTATAAACACCTCTCATTGAAGGTACATGCATTACATATGACACATTATAATGTGACATTTAATTACTGTGGTTGTTCTTTCACCCTTAAGCTCTGGAGGTCTGTTAACTTCCCCTTCTTACTGATAAATAACCCTGAAAGCATCACCATGTTGCTGTTCCTCCAAACCACCTCTACAAAAGATAAATAGTCATTTATTCTCTGATCAATATCACCAAGATAAGACCAGTTTAAAGATGCACATGCATCAGTAACATACCTGTCTCTTGAGAGATACCAACTGTGTGTCCAGCTGCCGTACAGTCAGCACTCCTGCGTCGTTGGAAGCTGACAGGGACGTGATGTCTCCCTGCTCGAGGTACATGCCTTTGGGGGGCCTGCGGCGGGCCCTGAGCGGGTGGTGGCGGTACTGAGCTCCGATACTTTCCTTTTTCACCGGCCCAGAGCGGCTGGGCATCGCCTTGTCAGAGTTGGCATTGTTTGGATTCTGTTTCACTGCCTGTGGGGACGAAGACAAAAAAAAAAAAATCACAAATACTATAAAAAAACCGGGAGCTTTCCCAATGTTACATTTTCACAAGAAATGCAATTCAGGAGTGCAGCATCACATTCATGGATAATAAATGAGATCGGAATTGAAAGATGTCGATTTGGCCTGACTCATCGCCTCAGGCAAGCCATGATTTATGATTCATGATTTCAAAAAATAATCACAACAATTTTTATATTCCAGCAGGCACACACACATACACAGTCAGGCAAATAAACACTATTAAGATTTTTATTGCTCACCTCTTTCTTTGTGTCAATCTCAAAGTCACTGTCACTGCCAGGGTCGCCTTCCTCCAGGTCATCATTACTACGAGAAATAAAGAAATGCACACGTTTATTGTCCTTTTCAGTTCTTTCTCCAATATTGTTTCTTCCTTCTGTCCATCCCTCCCCTTGTCTCTTTCCCTCCATACGAGTTTTCCCCCGGACTCACAACAGGTCGATGGTTTCTCCTACCTGTCCTCTTTCTCTCTCTTGCTAACCAGCCTCCTGGCCTGTCGGTCCATGACTGAGGTTCTGGTCCTCGTCTTCTTCCAGCTGTAGTAGTACTTCACCAAGCTCGAGATCAGCTTGTCTGGAAGCTAAAGAAAATGACACAAATCAAAACATTCAGCGCCGAGTTTTCAAATTCAAATTGAAAATCAAACTGAAGCATTCTGTTCTGAATATCAACGAGTGGCCTCTCACCATCTGCTGGATACGGTGGAAGCTCTTGCCGTGGAAGCTGAAGGCCTGCTCAAAAAGCACTTTATCTTCCACCGTCCACTCGTCCGGAAAGGGGGTGAAGTTGGCCAGGTCGGCAAGTGAGCGCTCCACATCGTGTTTGTGCCATAACAACATGCCCAGGGCCTGAAGGAACCGAGGAGACAAATAAAGGGTCAGGCCACGAAGCGAGACAGAAACAAGCCTTGAAAGCAGACAGACTCGTGATTTTGTTGTGCCATACCTGCTCCATGTTGTATCCATGTTTCTCTTTGGCCATCAGGATGTACTCGTCCACTGAGATAAGAAGGAAAAAGTTTTGAGAGCAAAAAAATGACGACAGAAGAAGCAAAAGGAGACACGGCAGGGGAGGAAGAGTGTGTGTGTGCGTGTGTGTGTGTGTGTGTGTGTGTGTGTGTGTGTGTGTGTGTGTGTGTGTGTGTGTGTGTTTTCATGCATAGAGAGCTTACACATGGCATCAGACAGCTGACTGTTGGGGCACCACACCAACATGCTCCTCTGGTCCCTCTCATTGTGGCGGGTTGGACTATCTGGTAATGAAAACCAACAGGGACTTGTTTTGAACACAAATAAAAACATTTAAATCCATCTAATCAGTGAGATTAGACCTAGATCTGAAATCATCACGTACTTGGTCAAAGTGAATGTGTGCGTGCGCACCCTTGAAACCGTTTAAGATTTTTATTTTTATTTTTAACTCCCTATATGTCTCTGTCTGAGATCGTCACGACTTCTCAAACTAATTAACTTTTACTGGCGTCATCGCTCGTCTTTGCATGTTTCTCCAGTCTGGCTTCAGCTTCCACTTCATTAGCAAGAAAGATGTGCAGGAGGAGAAGACAGAGACGTGCAGCTGCTGTGCTCTTTAGGGAATTCAACACCTGTGCACCGACTTTAAAACACAGGTTGTTTTCCCTCTGGCGCGTGCTGATGCTTGTGGGACAACTTCATCATTTTGCATCTATTGAGCCTCAAACAAGGTATCGTGGTATTACAGTAAGTCAGATCATCTAACAGAACAATTCAGACTCAAAATTAAATGCTGATCAAACAATTTAAACAAAAATAAAAAAACGACTGAAACTAGCTTTATTCTGAGTAACCATGGCTACAGTACATACGATTGTGACACATTATTTGCCTGGGAGGAATATTCTGGATTTTTTTGTGTCTGTATTTCATTCAAACTATGATTCAAAGGACTAAAAAAGAAACTAGTTATACTATCGGTTTAAGAGAAATACTTTCTTTCTTTGATTTTTCAGTGTAACACTGGTCAATCGACTTTCATTGTTCTCATCATCTGCATTCTCCTTCATTCATTTCAATGTCATATCTCTCTCTCTCTCTCTCTCTCTCTCTCTCATCTCACCTGGTTTGAACTCTGGAATCTGAGCTTGGTAGTCTCCTCCCACTCTGATCATGCTGTCTGTAGACAAGAGAGAGAGAGAGAGAGAGAGAGAGAGAGAGAGAGAGAGAGAGAGAACAAATATGACTTTTTTTATTTTCCTGATGGTGGGTAGAGCTGTACAGATAACAAAGGGAGACATCAGGAGAGATGGAATGAGTGTCATCAACGTTATGACACACTAAATAAGTGATAGCGTTAATTATCTGGAATACCGGGTGCTGCTGGCTGACTGGTTAGTATGCACACCCCACGTACGGAGGCCGTAGTCCTCGAAGTAAGCAACCTGGGGTCGAATCAGACCTGTAGCTCATTTCCTGCATGTCATTCCCCACTCTCTCCCTCCCTGATTTCCAATTCTATCCACAGTCCCATCTCTCGAATACAAACACACACAAAACATCTGAAATATTTAGACGTGCTCGGCCCTTTAACAGCTTCACTTGGGGAGAGCAGTCACGTATATTAACAGCTTTTAAAGTACAATTGGTGACCGTAACGCAGAGGCAATCAGCAGTGCGACCCAAAAAGATTTTCTCTCTCACATGCAATGCCACACAGTAGAGGGCAGACATGGAGAAAGTATTCTACTCAAATCCTGTAACTGTGGGATCAGGGTTTACAGTTTTGTTAAGCACTTCTAACAACAACAAGATGATGATTGAGCTGTTCTTCCCTCTTTCTCCAAACTGTAAAAACACAAACCTTTTTCAGTTTGTTTCAGGGGATTATTTGTTTTATTTCATGAGTTACCTAAAAGGCCAAATCAGTTTCCTTATCTGTGGCTGTCTTAGTCTGTTTCTTTCTCATAATGACAGATACACAGGCAGAACTGGACAGAGGCAGAGAGCTGAAAGTGAAAGAGCTGATGGTGAACATTAAGTCATTAGTGCTGTGGTTAAGAGCATGAAGGCAAAGCGGAGGGAGACACTGTGAGAGCAGCAGCGAAGCAGACTAGGAGGAGGAGGGACACATTACTGTTTCCTCAGGGACAGAGGACAGGAAGGGAGGAGAGGGGGTGATGGGAACCAGAGTCTATGGGTGGAGAGAGGCAGGAAGTGGGTGAGTAAAGAAGAAACTTCTAGGTTGGAAGGGGGAAACGCAGCATGAAAGGAGGCAAACAAACGGGGGGGGGGGGGGGGGGGGGAATAAACGATGGAGAGGTGGTTGAGGTGATCTCCCTAAACCGCCAAACGGCTAAGCTGTTATGTTGGATCTAATGATATCTCTTAAGTCTAGCAGTTAAAACAAGAAAGATCACCGGCAAGTCAGCGGGTGAAGGAGAGAATGGAGAAGGGAGAGGTGTATGTGGGCAGAGCATAACAAGGATGGAAGAGTGTGGGAAGGGGGTGGAGGAGAGAAGGAGAGGACGCCAGAAGAGGAGAGCAGTGACGAGGACTAAAGAAGCACTGCAGCAAAGCGCCAAACGCAACCAAAGCAGCAGGCGTGACGCGGCTCCACACTGGGATCATGTTTGTGTGTTGTTTTTTTTTTTTTACGTGGTCCTATCTGGAGACAAATGGCAAATCTGACAACTCTTTGAACAACCCCCCCTTTTGGCTGTTACTGCGTCTCGAAAATGAAGTGGTCCAGCAGATTTCGCTGAGAAATAAATAGAGCAGCTAGAGGAGGAGGCTAGTGACTCTGACCCGACTCGACTGATGATTAAAATACGCTGGGAAGGCTGCACAGCATTTGACAGTTCTCCCCAGCCTGCAGATACACCGATTTCTGCAGAACTAAACAAAAAGATCGATCTGGGATAAAAAAAAACTGTCTACGAGTCATGCTTCTATAACTCTTTTCATTGTTGATTTGTGAGTTAATACTTGCTGCTTACACTTCATTAAAACAGTTTCCTAGGCTATCTCCATCGCATGATAAGGGCTGCTCACTGAAACGGACCCTAATCCTAACCTTGTTTTATACGCGTTAATACTTAAATGGGGAATCTTTGCACACTGAGACAGACTTTTCCAACGGACAGAAAACAGTGTTAAGTGTAAAATCGCATGCAGCGCGCAAACTATCACAGATGGAGCCTGGAAAACTTTATGAGTGACGCTGCACAAAAGAGTGGATTATACGCGTGTGTTTCTCCCTTTTGCAACTGAAGCGCTCGTGGGCTAAACTTCCCATGAATAGGAACTGTGCAACCAGTTTTTTTTTTTTAAATAAGTGACCCAATTCTTGGCGTGCTCCCTGACACACAGAGCAGGTTGGAGGTCAGGACATCTTTATTGACACAATGTTCTGTCCACTTTACACGAGCCTCCAGTTAGAAAAGCAGAGCCACACATGAAGTCCCCTCTAACTTTTTTGTTTGTTTGTTTGTTTGTTGGTTAAGCAGTCAGTAGAAAGAAGGGAGTGCAGTTTGACGTGTTCGTGTTCCTACCATGAGCGTGCTCTTCATCGCTGCTCTCCTCTTCCGAGTGGGGTTGGCTGTTGCCGTTGGTTACAGTCTTAGCTCTGCTCCTGGACAGGACCCCGGACCCCGAGCGCTCCATCACTGAGGGCATGGCTGCAAAACAAACATAGACATGAAATATGAATAACCAATCATCATCATGATTTGATCTCTCATAGACGATCATCCAAGGTCTTTTTTTTTTTTGTTTTCGCTGAAACCCTAGTTCACTCTTGGAAATCACACAGCGCCTTATGATGCCACCTTGGAAGCGCTCTCTAAATTTCCACTGAGCTGAGTTGATTAACCCAACACTAGTTCAGTCCTCTTATCTCTGGAGGACCCTCATCATCACTCGCCGCTATGCAAACTTTGTATTACATTTTTTTTTAACTATAATGGAGAAAAACATTCTTGAGGTTTTGTTTTCCAGAAATGACATTGCAATTTTGTCCATCAGTCGGCATCGCATCTCCATTTTCACAATCCTCTTAACACTGTCTGCAGTACATGTGGAGGAGTATCACAGTGATCCTCACAAGAACTGCTGGACTTATTGTATTGTAACATGTTCTCCATTACAGTTATTTAGTCAGAAAATCAGCCTTCTTCTGCGTATCTCTGCATAGCCAATTCCTTCCAAAAATCCATTTACAATCCAGATTATTTATTGGCTATAATCGTTTAAGTAAAAAAAAAAAAAAAACACTATATTTGATTGCAATTTCTGTAACTGGTGAGTTTGCCCTCTTTAAAAATCAGTATCATTATCAAGCTCAAACTTCCTCCATCTCTCATGCTCGATTACAGATCTCCAAATGTGATAACTCATTTCCTGCAAAATGAAAATCTGTTGCATTACTCATTTCTATTCAGTCTACAGCACATCTTACACAATCAACTACATGAACACATGTGAATGTTAAGACATGCTTGGGGAATCCATCGTATCAGACAAAGTGGCATCTTCTGAAGAACGACAGGAGGGTCCTCCTTCATGAAGGGGACTCTCATCGAAAGTGTCATCCACAGTCAGAGCCAGATATCACTACGTGGCCCAAGCCTCGTTGTCTCTCTCTCTCTCTCTCTTTCTCTCTCTGTGTGTGTTTCCTCCGGGGCAGCGAGTCTACACAGTAGCACAAAAGACTAGACGGTCAGCTCAGGACACACACATCCACACACAGCAGAGAGTAACCCATCAGAAGTCCCTCCAAAAAAAAAACCCCAGAGGTGAACACAAAGAAAGACCGATCATAATCGCACATGGATGTAGAAGCAACAACAACAAACTGAAGTCTGTGCAGCGAATCGCTCACACTCGCCCTAGTTTTCTTCCACCAAACACACGAGCAACTTCATCATCAGTAACCTAACTTGAACTGCGACCAGAACAAAGCAACGACGCAGCGGATTTATATGGCACACGACCCACATGAATTTATTTCTCCACATTCTTCAGATTAAACCTGCTCTGATGTGTCTTTTAACAAGGGGAGTGTGCATCTCTACAACCCCAGAGATTATACTACATCTACCAAACTCCGGCAGACAATACGAAGTGTCTGAGGCACTCTGGGGGTCTTTGTCTATCGTGGCTCTCTCGTTGGCCCCCTCAAAAAAAACCCAACAACAGCTGCCCCCCCCCCTCCTCTAACTTCACCATAAACTTATTATCCGAACATAGACACATCGATTTTTCTACATTTTCCAGATCTTATAATGTTGTGGAGCTGCAGCTACAATGGAGACTCGATGTGTATAATCTCACCCCGGTTCTTTTTTTTTTTTCAAGAGAGAGTTTTAAGGTAGTATAGCCTCGAGTCAGGCACGGCTGTAGTAGCCTCGATCACTGGTAGATTCGTCAACTGTTAACAATTGTACCTAAGTACTGCGAGAAATGGTTTAGTCTGCTATTGAAAAGCACTACTTGACTCAGTTTTTATTCTTAGTAATTTAATTTGACCATCTCTATCTGAACAACTTTTGTTTTTTAAATCTGACATGGCAATGCATGATAACACACACACACAAAAACCACAGCACACACACACTGCTTCAGGTTTAAGAAGTTTAAATGCATGTGTATTATTGTTTTGCAAATGGCTATACATGTCTTAATAATCTCCTATAATCATTTGTTTGTGTGTGTGTGTGTGTGTGTGTGTGTGTGTATCTGGTAAAGACAACACTACAGCTCTTCCATCCTGGTTTGAATTTCCCATTCTTGGCTTTTGTGCAAATAAGTTAATAAATAAATTAAACCTCACACGTGACGGGACTAAAATGGCTTTGCATTGCTTACTTTGCTAAATCAATAACTTCCACATCTTTTCCTAAGCAGTCATCTTTTGTGTGTGTGTGTGTGTGTGTCACACTTTTTGAAGTCCTTTTGTTTTCCCCACGCTGGAAGCTCCTGTCTGGTGCTGATGTGAACTCACAATAATTCGCCCTCTAGATTATTTAAAAAAAAATTTTTTTTAAAAACTGGAGTTGTCGGGACGTCTAGCTGCAGACAATCAGAGTCATTTTCAGACACTCAGGAATAATAAAAAAAAAAAAGAGACGACCTCCCCCCCCAGTCATCAAAGTGCATGTAGAGTCAACCCGAGTTGGTCATTGGGGATGCTAATGTTAGCCACTTAGCTTCTGCGTTACATTAGTAACGTAGCTGGAAGTGGAGATAACAGTTACACCGTACCTGTGTGTCGTTTCTCTCCGGCTTTTTTCCCCCCCTCCGCACTCCAAAAAAACTTAATCCGCACCTTCCGTCCGCGGTGTGAAACGTCCCCTCCGAAGTGCTCCCAGGAAATCTGCTTAACCCTTAAAAAATGTTATTTCTCGCCTAATTGATGAGCGCAGTCAGTACAATGAAGTGAACTGCAGCCGTGAGTGTGTGTGTGAGAGTGTGTGTGAGTGTGTGTGTGTGTGTGTGTGTGTGCGCGCGCCGGGGAGACCGGACAACACCCGGGGAAAAGTGAGGTGGACATCCGCCCCGAATGTGGTTCGCCTCCTCCCCAACGCAGCCGTTTGGATTGACAAAAAAGTAGTCCCGTCAAACTATTACTTATATCTTGCCCCAGTTTTGAATTATTACACTGCTAAGCGTGATATTTGACACGTAACAGTGGGTTTCTTTCACGAGCATCGTACTGAAAGGCTTTGGAAAAAAAAAAAAAAAAAAACCAGTTTATAATAATAATAATAATTACCTTACAATTAACACTTACGTTTATATCTTTAAAATAAAAAGAGGAGGAATTGGCTGTTGTGTGTAGTAAATGCAGGCGTTTTTTTTTTTTTAGAGTATTAATCTTCAATCTATCCAAAAATCCCATAAATTAGGGACTACTTGCCAGTGTGTCGGCGGAGGGATTCGTCAGCTGTGCATCGCTGTGCTGAGGCAGGCTGTCCAGACTTGCACTGATGTATGCATGGTGGTGGAGAAGAGGGCAGGGGAGTGTGTGTGTGTGTGTGTGTGTGTGTGTGTGTGTGTGTGTGTGTGTGTGTGTGTGTGTGTGTGTACGATTGAACCTAAAAGGTGTGTATACATGAGAAAGTGTTATCAGGTCCTCACTCTGCTGTGTGCATGACTCAGACAGCCCCAGATAATAAAGTTTCAGCATACTTGATTTTTTTTTTAAATTTCATTTAAAATGTGCAACAATTCAAATGTTCGTGTGCATTAGTAGCCTACATGTGCACAGGTTGACGAGTGTTGAGTGTGTGTTTCTGTGATTGCTTTAGCAGGATATCTCACACCTGATGCTGGCAGTACACACAATTTAACACACATACAAATAACCTGCTGCTACCTTCATAAGTGCCTGCTGCTGACATGTAACAGCCTGTTATCCTACTCCTTTATTTTTTTCCCCACTTTCTCTTTGCCATCACCTCCTCCTCCTTTCTCCCCCACCTCCTCTTCATCATCCCTGTTTGCACATGTTCCCACCTCAGCTATAGCCTACATCTCCCCCTTGATCTCCTACACTCCTCTTTTTCTCTGCTTCTCCGCTACTTTCTCTTCCTTTCTTCCTTCACACCTCCTGAGTATCTGCTCTAATTCCCCTCCTCAACCTCCCCCCCCCTTTTTCTTCTCGCCTCAGTTTGTGCACCCTCCTCCAAGATTGTTTTTTTTGTTTCTTCTCCTTCTTACTCCTTATTATTACCGACCCTGCCTCCCTCCTCTCTCACCCATCCATTTCCTTTCCCTCCTCCACTTCTCTCCCCTCCTTAGTATTTCTCCCCCCCCCCCCCCCTCCTTCCTCTGCCCTTCTACATTCCCCCTCACTTTCTTTCCTTGTGATGATTCCACTGCTCTGTCTCTCATGCCTTCCCTCCACTTCTTCCTCACTGCTCCTCCGCCTCTTTCCTGTCTCTTTCTCTGGCTACTTATCTGTCGACCTCTCGCCGTCTTCCTCACATGTCACTTTTGATTTCAACGGTGTGTGTGTGTGTGTGTGTGTGTGTGTGTGTGTGTGTGTGTGTGTGTGCCGTACGTGCAAATTCTTCCCTTACCCTCCCCCCATCCTCCCCCTACGGTGACACAGTAAAGCAGCTTCGCTTTCCTCACCTCCAGCCCTCTCCTACTTCTCTCCTCTTCCTCCTCCTCCTCCTCCTCCTCCCTCCCCTGCCTCGTTTTCACCCTTGCCACCTCCTCTCCTCTCTCCTCACCCACTTCCCTCCTCTCCTCTCATTAGTCAGTGTCCATGAGACTCACCATTCCACTGATTCCTCTCTTGCTCAGTTCTCCAGTCACTATCACACCCTCACTAATGAACAACTGCTATATCTCTCCCTTCACCCCCCAGTACTCTTTTCAGCCCCCTCCTCGTCTTCTTTCTGTCCCCGCTCTCCTCCTCTGTCCTCGTCTCCATTCCCCTTGCTCTGCCTGTCTCTCTCTCTCTCTCTCTCTCCCCTTCTCATTCCCTTCTCTTTTTTTTCTCGCTCCGTTTCTCTTCGATCTCTCAGAAGTGAGTGTCCCTCCCACTCTCCCTTTAGCTCACTCTTGTTTCCACTTCTTCTCCTCACCCCCTCCCCTCCTGTCTCTTTCCACCTGTCTCCTTCTTGTCTGTCTATCCGTCTGCTTTCCTCGCCAAATGTCTGTCTCCTCTGCTGTCTGCTTCCCTCACGACCTCTCCCTTTCCTTACATCTCACCCTCACTCCCATCCGTCCATTCTTCCTCTGACTTTTCTCTGTTGCCTCAGCAGATGCACAGTCTAGAATCAGATGGGATAGAATGGGCTCTTCCTGCTGAAAGGACCGTCATGCAAGTCCAAAGGCTCAGTGCTGCAATACTCACCTACATGGAGGCACAGAGAAAGGCTTATTTTAGCCATCACCAACTCAGTATGGTATGATTTTCTGCTTGGATTGCCAAAACATCATCATGAAGTCATCACTGTATGACACACCATCTGACTCATTATTGTCTGACACAAGCCTTTGTGACATAAAGATCAGAGTACATCAGTTCAAACAGATTTTATATAACGGTGATATCAGCTCATCTTTTAATTAACCCCTGGTGTATTTTCCAAGTCACAAGAAGTATAAAAGTTCATAAACGGCTTTGCAATATGAACGCCTCCAAGGTCAAGATCTAAAAAAATAACCTTCAAAGAAATATACCTGATATCATAGGTTGTGGCATGGTGAGGTTTAGACTCGATTCTCTCACTCTTCTTGCTATTTACAGCATTCAAACAGGTTTTCAGTTACTACGGCTGTACACTGTCCGCCCAAAACCCAACAAAAATTCAACCAAGCAACCAATCAATTTTTATTTTTATCGTGCCAAATCAAACATAAGGGGTTGACTGTTATAGCCATAACATTTAAACTTTATTGTAGCGTATACAAACTTCATCTTAAAGTATATGAATCTCTCTCATACCACTCATAACCTGATGCTCAGAATGTGAATAGTATGATTGTACATTGTTCATGTATAATGTGTGGTACAGAGACTGGGCCATCTGCGTGCTGTGGAGGGCTGGTGTGTGTGTGTGTGTGTGTGTGTGTGTGTGTGTGTGTGTGTGTGTGTGTGTGTGTGTGTGTATATCTGTATGGGTGTACATGTGAATTTGTTTATGCCCATCCCCCTTTTTCCTCTTATTTAACTCGATAGCTACTCGAGTGATTGCTCAAATTCTTTTTTTATATATCTCCTCCAACTCTCTTCTACACATTGGGTACCCACATTCTTCCACAAAAAAACTACAAGTATCTCCTATCACACAGGAATGAATTAGTGTGAACTGTAACGCTTAAACTCTATCAAGAGCAACTGTTTTGTCTTCAGGTTGTTTCCGTCTTTGTATACTTACTCCTGTTTTGTCTCTTTACGTCCATTGATATCACCTAATTAAAAAAAAAAAAGGATAGACAAAAAGAAGTTATCCCATGACACCTAACCCTTGGTGTTGTAATCCCACAATGGTCCCACAATGCATTGCACAGAGGTAATGGAGGAACTGATCACATCTGGGGGAAAGACTCCACAACATGTTGGTGAACCAGCAGAAATGAAAGAAAGCAGCAATAAAGATAATTCTTTGGGACACAAATCAGCATCAGGAGCCAATCTGATTGTCCAATCACTTATTGCAGCTGAGGGTGGCGCTAAAGGAAAGTTTACAGAGTGTAAAAAAAAAAACTGCAAAGGGGTCATCCTCTTGGGAACCTGAATAAAATGGAAAAAAAACGCACCGGGATCCAGATAGTTTTTTCAGACACAATGCCGTGTTATGGGCAGAAAAGGTCGGCACAGATGAAGCTATGACCTGCGGGTGGTGCTAGAAGAAGGTCAGAAGGTCAATGAGATCATAGAGAATCAGCTCTCAGGGATCAGTCAGTAAACATCCATGGCAAGGTTAAATGCTTTCAGGCAAATTGTCATTGAAAATGTTCCAAACTAAAATCCCCATTTAAGAGTCCTCCACTGCTGGTTAACAAAACAATCTCCATATTAATACTTTCGCATGCACAGTTGCAATTTTACCGATACAGACCATTCATATTAGATTATCAAATGAGGTTAAAAGTGAAATCCAGGCTACAGCCAAATCTAGCTCCAGTAGGGGTGTTAATGCAGAAATGGATGCTGCAAGGCTGTCCACATAGTTTAAATACAAACAGTCATAAATCACTTAGATGTATATAAGTACAACTGCAGCAGCGGACAGATAGCAGACATTCTCAAGCAGTGTGTAGACTTACTGTAGAACCATGTATTTTAAGCAGAATAGCCATGAAGGGGACGATGTCCAGTCTAGGTGTTGTGATTCTCTGCTTGCTGTGTTGAGAGAGGCCTCATCTTCATCCACCAGTCTCCTCTGCCCCCTTTCCACACTGCATCTGTTGATTCCCTCTCTCAGCCTCCTCCCCTCTCCTGCTCTCTTCACTTCTGCTGCCTCCCTCCCTCCCTCCCTCCTCTCCCTCCCACTCCCTCTCCTTCCCCATCTTTCTCCTCCATCCTCCTCATCCTCATCCTTTCCTGTCTCTTCATTATCATGTGCCCTGATTGTTATTTCCTCTTCATCTCCTCGTTTCTATATATCATCCCACACATCTTTAGGCTGCAGGAGAGCACTATATGTGTGTGTTCCAGTATATGAGTGGGTGGAGGTGGCAGGGGGGGGGGGCGTCTTGAATTTCATTATGAGCTAGTGCAAGCACACCAGAAAGAATGCATAGAAAATCTTAAATTCTTGAATATGTATAGACAGAGGGAAACATGTAGAAAGTGGTGAAAAGGCATGCTGATAAATATATGTTTGTCTGGGCTTCAGGAAAGAAGCAGACAGGGGGAGACTTCAGCGAGCATCAGGCCTCTGCACAGACTCTCAGAGCCTCCCCGCGCCCCCTACTGACATATGAAATAAATAGTTTTTCTACCGACAGCCGAGAGACAGATTCCCAGAAGACAAAAGACTGTAGGCGGGGTTTAG